ATCTAACGTAATTTTTGCAAGAATACCAAATAATTTATAATTTTAAATATGAATTTTTTATCAAGAAAATATATCTGGGTTCTTTTAAAACGAATTGCTTCACTAAACTTCAAATGTGATTACTACCTAATAACTCACAAAAATTAACGTCTTGTAGGATTTTATAAATACTTGCATACCCCTTTAACAGTTTAGTGCAGCCCAGTGAGAAATCTACGGGTAGATTTTTCTAGCGCCGTGAGTAGGACTACTTTGCATGGAAGGTCAAATCCGCGAAATCATACTAATGTTCATGCATGAAACTGGTTTGCATGAAACCCACGGATTCAAGTTTAATATATTAAACTTCTTAATTCTTTAAAGATAACTAATCACAAAGGAATATTGTAGAGTGAAACTCGACAATTATTCAAATTAGAGTGATTGTGTTCCCTTCGATAGTTAAATTATGCCTTAAGCTTTTCTAAACTATTTTTTGCTAAGAAAATAAAAACTAAAATAAAAAATTTCAAGTTTCAAATGGAATCATCAAATTTTATTCCATCCACACACTTGCTGATAGAAGAAAAGCCAGATTTATCCGAAAAATCTCTTCAGTTGAAAGCAGAAAAACCTAAACCAACATTCAAATGCCTCGTTTGCGATAAATCGTAAATTTCACAATTTTGCGCTTCCATTTTTTGACCTTGTCCCTTATTCTCATGAGCTTTTGATTCTGGATCTTCTAATATTAGTTAAATAATAATAATACTCTATTATATCTCTTTTTTTTAGTTATAGTAAAAAAACATCATTGTTTACACACCACAAAAGTCATCCTGAGCACTGTGTACACTGTGGAGAAAATCGAGGCTCATCTGTGAAAAGTATTTACGAGCACAATTTAAAGCACGTTAACATAAGGCCTTTCGTATGCAAAATTTGTGGCGATAGCTTTTTACGTAATCAGCAATTCGTTGAACATGAAAAATCTCATGATAAGCCACCTGAAGAGCCTGTTGCTAAGGAAAGCAAATATAAATGTAAAACCTGTCAGTCTTGTTACAACAACTGGAAATTATTTTATAAGCATCAGCAGGAATCTGAACATTTTAATGAGAAGTTTTTATGCGAAATATGTGGATCTGAGTTCTATTCCAATTTCCTATTGTCACAGCACATTCGACGATTGCATAAAAGGAGCGGTAAATGAGCTTTTTCTTTAGTTTTTATTACAAAAAGTAATCTTACTTTATATTCATTAAAAGATGAAACATTTTCATGTTCATTTTGCTCGAAAGTATTTGCAACAAAATCCAACCTGGATTCACATATCAAAAAAATCCACCAAAATGATAGCAAAAAGCATGTTTGTGAAACATGTTGCAACACATTTTCTAGCGCACCGAATCTCAAACAACACATTAAAACAGTGCATGAAGCTGAGGTTTGTTGAGCTTAGTTTAAAATATTAAAATATTTCAAGAATAAAATTTATAACAACTTGATCTTTAACCTTTTAGAAAGAGTACGAGTGCCAAGCATGTAAAAAGCCTTTCAAAGCTAAAAATCGTTTGACCCGCCATGAAAAAGAAGTTCACATGGTATGTACTACAAAACAATTAGGTTTTAAATTTAATTCTTATTTTTGGGCTCTCAGATATTCGAATTTCTTTATTCAAAGAGTCCAAGATTAATAAGTATGAAACTTGTTGTATATCACAATAGGGAAAAAATGGAAATTCCGAAGAAAATCGAATATTTAATTGTGACCATTGTCAAAAAAAATATAAGCGTTCCTGGCATCAAACTCGTCACAGTCAAATGAAACATGAAAATTTCAACTCAAGCACAGCAGCAACGACTTTAGCTGGTGCAACTCCAGCACCACACAATAATGAAAATATGTCTGGAAATTCGTCAAGAAGCAACTATGATTATCAGCATTTACAGCAGGATTCAGATTTACAAATAATTTCCGGACAACAACCATACTCAAATATCGCTGACACAGTTGTTCAAACATGTGTAAACAACTGGTCACCACATATTGATCAGAGTCACCATTCACAACACCAGCAATCTCAACAAGAACATTTAGTTAATTCAATTATAAATGAAAATTTGAATACAAAAGGTTATAGCACACCAATAATGCCTCAACAACAAATAAATGGAGGAAGAGATAGTGACGAATATGCCAATTACGCTGTGAATGAGCAATATTCCAATAAATTCGAGCAAGTTCAAATGCTCACATCTGTTGCTGCACCAACTCCTAGTGACAGCATCAATCAAAGTTCGTATGACTCTTGGGTATATACCGCCTTTTATTTTTCTTTAGTTTTCAGTTTTATTCATGTTGCTTTGTCTCAATCTTTACAGAGTTCACAATCTGTCGCATCCTGGGATTATACTAATAATCATCACAACATTCAGCCGCAACCTACTTACTATAATTCTCAAATACAACAAAATGAATGGTATTACGATCCAAATTTTCATCAACATCACCATGGAGTGTATGACACGTGTAATGATATGTACAATAACTATAAAACTGAATATTGCCTTAATCAACCAACAGCACCAATTCTACATTCAGCTGAAACTTCCATATATAATAATAACAATAGTAATAACAATAATAATGTTAACAGCAATAACAATGGAATTCATTACTACTATCACCATGAAAACGCGTCTTCTGATCAGCATCTTCAGAATCCTCAGTCCAATTATCCACGTTCTAACTATCAACAAAACTTTAATTAATAATTTCATGTGAAAATTGATCAGGAAAATACTTTTATCTTATTCGAAGTTCTCTTTATTATTTTGCTTAAAATCAAAAACTAACAGAAAATTAAATCATTGAAATATATATATAATTATTTAATTCAAGATAACAGGTGTTAACAAGAATATCCTTTCCAGATATTTATCCACCACAGAACTTTCCATCTGAAATCACTCTCGTTTGTCTCTCCTTGTTATACAATAACGTATTCGTCAATATTCTTCTTGGGGCTCCAAGATTTGTATGAACATTACTTAAATTTACAGATTTTGTACTACTATTTGATGATAATGATTTTGAGTCATTGTGCAGCTCTACCAATAGTTGCTGTTCATTTCCTGTTGTTGAGGTGTTGCTTTCAAAAGTACTCTGAGAATTACTGTCTCTGGGAATTCTAGAGTCTGAATGTTGTCGAACATCACTACTCAACGATGAGCTTGAAGATATGTTTGATTCTTTTTGTGCTGCTTTTAGCGCTTTTTTTGCAGCAAATTCTTCGATCATTTCTTTCGCTTTTCTTTTTACTAATATTCGTATTTGTCTTTTCCTTTCTTTCAAATTTGATTGATTTGAACCAGTACTTAGTGAGGTAGACAAATTCGATGTATTAAGTGTTTTAATTGAATCATTTGAGCCCACTACTGACTGTGAACTAGAAGGTGAGTTTAAAGGACGCATTACGTGTTGTTAATATGCGTCAATTTCTTCTATAATTGATATTATTCTCCAAATGGTAACTCTTTTATTTAATGTTTCAACATGAGAAAAAAAACCTTAATAATTAACAATTTTTTCCCTTTTTTATTGGTTTTATTCGTTAGAATCGTCTTTCAATGAACACGTTTAATTCTAGTCTTTGATGTTTCTTTTTCTTTCTCTACGTATTTCGATTTTACCGATTCAATTAAACGAACTGCACAATTTTCTGAACATCATCGCCATCGAATAGTCAAATCGGTGGAAAAAATAATAAATATCTCAGGCGAGTCACTTCGAAGAGTTAAATAATATCTTCTTGATAATAAGATTAAATACAAAAATGTCGATGTTATCAGCACGTTTAGCAGCTTCTGTGGCTCGCAACTTGCCTCGATCAGCACAACAGGTAAGAACATTTCATTCTAAACTACGATTTTTTCCCGTTTTTCCAATGAAAAAATTTTACTTGAAAAATTGCATAACACATATCTATGTATTTTTTTTTGAAAATTAAAAAATGTTTAAAATTGAAATTAGGTAATAATGCTAAATGTACTAAAAATACTTTGTTCATCACAAAGAATTTACCAATGTTTTTAATGTTTTATTTGACTTTAATTCAATTTTGTTATGAATCGTACCGAATACAACTACTGAGAAAATTTAGAATGGTTGACATATACGGAACCTTATATAACTTTTAAGGTTAATAAGAATTAAAATTCTTCCATTCATTTCAAATTTATACTTTAAAGGTTGCTAGAGCAGTTATTCCCGCTTCTCAAATTGTCGCTCGTAAAATCCATCTGTCAACTCCAGCAAAAGGTGCTGAAATCAGCACGATCCTTGAAGAAAGAATTCTTGGAGCTGCACCAAAAGCTGATCTGGAAGAAACCGGACGAGTATTGAGCATCGGTGATGGTATTGCTCGTGTATATGGACTTAAGAACATTCAAGCTGATGAGATGGTTGAATTTTCTTCAGGCTTGAAGGTAAAAATAAAAAAAAATGAAAAATTTTAATTTGATTTCGCCGTAATTTGAGTTTTTTATAACATTGTTAACAGGGTATGGCTCTTAATTTGGAGCCTGATAATGTTGGTGTTGTCGTTTTTGGTAATGACAGATTGATTCGTGAAGGAGACATTGTCAAGCGTACAGGTGCTATTGTTGATGTTCCTGTTGGTGATGAGATCTTGGGTCGTGTTGTTGATGCTTTGGGTAATGCCATTGATGGACGTGGAGAAATCAAAACTGGTCAGCGCTTCCGCGTTGGTATTAAAGCTCCTGGTATCATTCCTCGTGTCTCTGTCCGCGAGCCTATGCAAACCGGAATCAAAGCTGTTGACTCTTTGGTCCCAATCGGTCGAGGACAGCGTGAATTGATCATTGGTGACAGACAAACCGGGTAAGATCTTTTTATCTGCTTATGTCTTTTGCATAACAAACATTTTCTTTTTTATAGAAAAACTGCTTTAGCCATTGACACTATCATCAATCAAAAGCGTTTCAACGATGGGCAAGACGAATCCAAAAAGTTGTACTGTATTTATGTTGCCATTGGTCAGAAACGTTCTACCGTCGCTCAAATTGTTAAGCGCTTAACTGACGCTGGAGCTATGGACTACACAATCATCGTATCGGCCACTGCTTCTGATGCTGCTCCTTTGCAGTATTTGGCTCCATATTCTGGATGCGCTATGGGAGAATATTTCCGTGACAACGGAAAGCATGCTCTCATTATTTATGATGATTTATCTAAACAAGCTGTCGCTTATCGTCAAATGTCATTATTATTGCGTCGTCCTCCTGGTCGTGAGGCTTATCCCGGTGACGTTTTTTACTTGCATAGTCGCTTGTTGGAGCGTGCAGCTAAGATGTCTCCAGCCCTCGGCGGTGGATCGCTAACAGCTCTCCCTGTTATTGAAACCCAAGCTGGTGATGTGTCAGCTTACATTCCAACAAATGTCATCTCAATTACAGATGGACAAATTTTCTTAGAAACTGAATTGTTCTACAAAGGTATTCGCCCAGCTATCAATGTTGGTTTGTCTGTATCACGTGTCGGTTCAGCTGCCCAAACCAAGGCCATGAAACAGGTTTATAATCCTTCCTATTTGTCATTTCCTCCAGCAGAGGAAATTTTTTTTTTTCACTACTCATGCTTTTGATTTTAGGTTGCTGGTTCTATGAAATTGGAGCTTGCACAATATCGTGAAGTTGCTGCTTTTGCTCAGTTTGGTTCAGATCTTGATGCTGCCACACAGCAACTCCTGAACCGTGGTGTTCGTCTGACAGAATTGTTGAAGCAAGGACAATATGTTCCGATGGCTATTGAAGAGCAAGTTGCAGTTATTTATTGTGGCGTTCGAGGACATTTAGATAAAATGGATCCAGCTAAGATTACATCATTCGAAAAAGAATTTTTGGCTCACATTACGACAAATGAACAAGGATTATTAAAACAAATTGCAACTGAAGGAAAAATCAGCGATGAAGTTGATGCAAAACTTAAATCTATTGTCACTAACTTCCTTTCTACATTTACTGGTTAAACCGTTTGCAAGTTGATTGCGTAATAATATTCTTCTAACGCATAATAAATCTTTTGTCATAGTTGATTAAGATACATAAAAATGAATGAGAGTACTACCATATAAAGGAAGATTTCCAAACATCATTTTCGATACTATTTGGATTGCAAACAGTTGAACATGTAATGAAAGGTGGAATTACTTGGAAATAAAATTCTCTTTGAAAAACGAAATCTCTGGTGAATTACTGAACATACATGGATTATATGAATATTAATAGCTTTATTTCATTTTATATTCTCGAAATATTTTTCCTCGAACGTATAGATAAAGGTCGATTATCTTGATAACTTATCAAGACTGGACTTTATGAACTGACATTGCTTAGTTTTCTTCCCCTAAATGTATGATAGATTTTAAAGTGTGTATCTCTTCATTAATTAACTAATCAATTAATCATTAATAGTGTTTTAAATAATTTAAAAAAGGGATGAGATTTCATTCGAAGGTATTTTTAATAGATTAATGAATTAATAAAATATACAAAAATGAAGAACTTTACGACATCGTAATTTAACGTTAAAATGTTTAAATTTTAACGAAATTCTAAGAATACACTCAACAAAAAATTTAACTGAACACACTTTGTATTTCAAAAGATTTTTTTCGAAATTTCGGAAGGAAAATTAATTTTCTTAGTTATTAAATATTAATTGTTAAAAAAATTGTAGAAGTGTCATTTGGGATTGAATAAAAGTGAGGAAAGCAAAACAAGAATATCGATTCGTGTCGTATTTGATTGCCATTAGACAATAATTGACTTATGCAGTTTGAGGTAAGAATGAATTCTACAGTAATTGTGGATTAGATTGTAAGGTCATTTTAATACGTCAATAGATAATGATTGTATTAAAAGGATAAAATAATATTGTAAAGTGCTTAGGGAGATACCACAGTTTATTAAAGACCACCGTTGCGAAACCGAAAAAAAAATCCACGCCCTTAACTAATTAGCAATATTTGAACCTTTTTTGTGAACAATATTTACGTGAACTAGGTATTCTACTAGTGAGCAAATAGGTACATAAATTTTCACAATAATGAATATATTTGTAATATCAAATACATCATACATAAAATTTATACGATGAAAATGTCATTGGAAAAAATATTGAACCTTCTCATAAGAAGGACAAACTCGATTGACGAAGTTTTTTTTTAAACTTGATTTTTTTTATTAATTTCTTTTCATTTAATAATGCTACGTGTAATCAAAGCGTTAAACTCAAGCATTCATGTGTTTTTGCGTCTGATATATGAAAAAAAGAATAAGATGTTACAAAAGCATTTTGGTGATTAATATATTGAGCCAGAGATAATCAGTAAATACTCATACAGTTAGCACAGATTATCAGTTACGTTAATTGATTATAATTTAAGTTGTAGTGTTAACTATATGCTTCATGCATAATAATTGAGTTTAAAAAACAGATCTTGTTATTTTTAAATATTATTATAAGAACTTGTTCTTCATTTCTATGTCTTAAATTTATGTATAATATATTATACATCAGAAATAGATAAGCACGTATCAATTATTAGTATTAGACTAAATGGATTCTTTTCAAAAAAAATTAAGCAAGAAATTTTTAGTTTAACTAATACATTATTGCAGTTATATGTTTTGAGTACGAGTTGTTAAAATGTTTATCGTCTCTTTAAACACAAACATCAATTTTTGGTGTCTTTGAATTAAAATTACATACTTAAAGTAAGGGCTTTAACCACTACATATATTCTTTCAAAAATTAATGGTATTTAGAACCAGTTTTGCAACTTCGAAACTAAAATGTATCTCTACTTAAAATAATTCTAGATATAACTTACTTTTTTCTATTCGGTAATGATAAGAACATTGCAAAGTTCTGGTATGAAATATTATGTAAGTGATGAATCGAAATTTAATAAGCAAAAATTGTTTACACAGCTGTGTAAGTCATGTGATTCATAACAACATGACGTCAAAAAAGAATTTCTTGATGTCATTGAAACTTTTTAAAAATGTGTCATTTTATTACTTTTCAACGTAATGAGACTTTACGTTAATTTTAGAAAAATCTATGAAAAAATCATAAAAGAAACTAAATAGAAATAAATTTATAAATAATTTTTATCTCATTTAAGAAGGAAAATAAATCGATGATTTATTCCATTCAATGTTTTATTAGGTAATTAAAAAAAAAGCTTTCACAATTTAGGATTTTGGGAATAAAAACTATGACGACTATTTTAAAAAAGTTTTAAACAAATCTAAACTACCTACTCATGCTCTAAATTGAAAGAATGCGAATTGAAAACTGTCTCAATTTGTTATGATTCTAATGCAATTCAAGTTTATTGTACGGATGTTTTCAATTTACAAAGGAAACTACTAGAAGATTTATTAAGTTTAATCATCCGTTTGATGTAGTTTACTGCACAGTTTTGTTGGAATTTAAAAACTCATTTTGGGATAAAAACTTCTAAAGCGAGCATGTTTTATTATTTTTATTTTTCATCTCCGCCCTGCTAAATGAACTTTTATTGTTATCTTAAAATTTTATTCATGAAATTCCAAAGCAATTCTATACTTCAAGATAATAAAAAAAATAAAAAGGATGTTATTGAGATTGCAATTATTCGAAATCTGAATATGACTATTCAATATCAGGTTTATTGATTTTCTTGAGGTTTATTACTTTCGTACACATTTGTTAGAAATTCGTCCTTCCCCGATGACTATTTCGACATATTAGCCTTATTATAACATTTTGATATTTCTCTTAAGTAAGTATTTCAATGTCAAATTAATAAATAAATTTTCCTTATGTAATAAGAAGCATATAACTATGTAGAATAAAAGTTCAAAAGTAATTTGGATACATTTGTAGATTAATAAATTATTGTATTTATTGATGTAAATAATTACACATATCTATATTGATGAATCAGGTTCTAGCTCTACACATAGAAAGATAATAAAATTATGAAATAGAATTTAAAACATTAAGTAGTTACTACTTTAAAAACGTTATAAATTATTGAAAATGTGACAAATAAGAAAAGTATGATAGAACACATTAACAAAATGTTTCATTTATTTTATTTAAGTGAAATATATTTCAAAAATATACATAATTTTCCATTTTGCATAATAATACAGCATCAAAAACTTTGTGATAAAAAAAAAGACTTTTCAACAAGAGTTTTTTTTGGTTACGCAACTTTCAAATAGTCAATGACTCGCTTTCAATATTGCACAGGCGCTAAGAAATTTGTACAAATTTGGTTATTCAATTGAATTAATTATTCGGCATCAAGTCTCGTTTTCCTTAAAAAATTTTTCGAACAAAAAATTTGAAAAGATATTATGCATAAATTTATCATTTAATTTATATTAATCGCTCTTTGCAAATTCTCTCATTCCTTAATATTTAATAATTAAGGGGCAGTTCATCGTAGTGCCTTTGTCGGCTGCCTCTAAATGATGCTTCGAAGAGTGCTAGTTCTTTTTCATAAAAATATCAATTTTCTAAGAAGTCGTTTTGTTATTCTAGTTTTGTCTGGTGCTTTTTTTCTATAAATGATTCTTTTTACTGACAAATTATTTCGATGAATTACCCCTTTCGACCAAGCTTTCGTCTGCAACAAGGGGTACTTCATCGAACAAAATTGGCCGGCAAAAGCTCCATTCAGAAGAAAAGCAATGGGCAAATTCTACGAAAAGCTAAGCGAATTCTTGGGAAAAAACATTTTTTGGAAAAGCACTAGCGCTTTTCGAAGCATCATTTAGAGGCAGCCGGCAAAGGAACTACAACGAATTACCCCTTGATCTGCGACAAAAAAAAATAGAACTTTGAGAAAATCTCTGAGAGAAACTTTAAGTATGTGTGAGTGGAAAGGGAGAATTGAGTATTGCTGATGGAAAAATACTGAATTGGAATACAAAATAGTAATTCAACGAATCTCTTGAATTAGTTGAGAACTGAAGTCGTGGCGTGAAAGACGTGAAAAGCTTGATTGGTGTGTAATATGATTGACTCTCTAGTGATATTATATAAATTACTTACACCAATATGAAAGAAAATTTATCCAGAATTATTTTTCATAAATTTCATAAAGGAGTGTTACAAATTAAAAAATGTTAAAAAGTTCAGAAGTGGATAGAAAAAAGGATCAAATTATTAAATTAAATATTGATGAAAATTTCTTCCATATTAATTAAAAATTTATTGAAAAACAAAAACCCGAAATTTTGAGCTTCGTGATTAGTTCTAAAAAAAGATAGATTAATACTTTTAGAAAGAAAAACCAAAGAAAAGTTTGATTGTAGAGTTTGTCCCGATTTTATTACACCTTCACATATGATATTAATATACATATATTTGCACATTTCTTACACGCCTTTATAGAAAGAAAAGTTTCAGTGGAATATTTAATTATATGAAACATTCTTAATCAAACCCCTTTGAAAATTTTAAAATGACTGTAAAAAAATATTTCAGTAAAATATAAAATTGATGGCTTAACAATCTTTTCCTTTAACATATCATTTTTTATTTGTATGTTCTAACGTTTCGTTAATCCGTTCGAGATATTGTTTGATTGGCCATTTTTAAACAATTAGGAATCTTTTCTCTTTGCAAGATCAAGTAATCTTTCAAATATTACAAGAAGGAAAATCATATGACATAACAAAGTCGAATATCGATTTTAAACTGACAATATAAATTCTGCTAGAATATATATTTCATATAATTTTTTTACATTAGTGCACTCTTTCGTTTGTGTGGGAATATAAGGAAAAATTACCAACAAATACACTGAAAAAAGAAAACTGTGTGTGGATAGAAGAAAAAAGACCCTGAAAATTTCGTTACATAATTATTTTCTCAAAAAATAGGAAGGCAAAATTTAAAAGTAAACTTTAAAAAACGCAGAAATTCGATTATAATTTGATATTGGATCACATCGTCTGTATGCAGCAAAAAATTATCTAATTGAAATACGCTCTATTTGCCTACTTAGGATATTATCTTCAACTGCTATCTATCTTCTTAATAAAAATAAAAACATCAAACTAAATTATCAAAGTATAAGGGAACCACAAAGTACGTATTTCTTATGATAATAAAGATTACTTAAGCTTTTTAGTGCAAATTTTGTTAATGTTGTGTTATTAATTATGTCTCATTAATTATTTACTTTACGAAAAATAATGTGTTGCAAGCTTTTAGATAAAATGTAGAAAAATCATTACATTTTTTATATTCTTCGGAAGAAGGAAAAAAAAGAAAAATCATTGAACATTTAGACATGTATCAGTTGAAAAGTATGATTGTATGGAGTAAATGAATGTTATTTCTGATTTTAAATATTTTCATGGAAAATTGCACTAACATTTACACAATTCAAAAAGACACAAAAACTGAACAAAATAGTTTGGAAATTCAATTGTACAAATTAATTTTTTTATAGAATATCAAAGACATATAGCCGTATAAATTTCTTCATTAAATTGCTCATCTTTGACATTTTACAAAGGATCATATATAATGTCGATGTCTGGCAGTGAGGTGGGTTTCTGTAAAATTATGAATTTTTCTATTTCAATTTCTCTATGTCTCGGCCTTGATTTCGTTTTGTTTTTAGTTAAACATCAAATCGAAAAAAAACTTTTGAAAGTTCAGAATACATTTTCCTATCGTTTATAAATTAGTTACAATAAGTTAAATTAAAATAAGAGATCCAACCTGAAAAATTAGGATTATGGAATAAAAATTTGCCTGCACTGGAATTTTTCTTTCTGTGAGAATAATTGTGTTAGTGAATGGAAAATTCAAACACTAGAATGAAAATTTTCATTGGAAAATGGTTCTGGCCGTATTGATTTTATGTTCCTGTGGTTAGAATCAACAACTTTTTTCACCTTGAAATTATTAAGACATTTGCGTTAAAAGATTTCACAGTTAAACATCTGCATCAATTAAAAGTTTATTAGATCGAAAATACTCAATACAATTAATGTTTAACTAAGAAGCTTTGAGAGAATTTTGTGGAGATTTTTGAAGCGGTAAATCAATTCAAATTTCCTTGTTAGATAAGCTTTTTCCTGTTTCAAAAAATTACGTTAAAACTTAAATCGCGGCTTTCATGAAATAGGTTTAGGAGAAATTAGGGATATGCGTGGTATCTATTCATGTAAATGTAATTTGAAGAATTAAAATTGTAACGCGTTGAAACAAATATGTACTACAAATATAAGAAAAGATCTTGAGGTTAAATTGCAAATACTGACCTCAGATAAAATATCTCTTTAGAAAAGTAATAAATATAATAAGGTCTTCATGGTTTATTCCAATTTAATAATGTATGGGTATTTCTATAAGAAATAATTTAATAATTTTAATTTCTTCGAAATTAAGAAAAAAATTTCGTTATGTAGGATTCTATTGTAAGTTACAGATTTGGTCTTAAAATATTGCATTACACAAAAACCTTTTGAGCAATTTCGATCTTAGATTAATTAAATGTACACTAAAACACGTTCATTAAAAATTTCGTCTCAATTATGCTGGTGCAAATGTCGTATGTGATTTTATGAGCCAAATTTTGCTTTGAAGTAACATCTTGAAAGTAAAACTCATGAAATAAATTTAGAAAAAATTGGTTACGGAAAGTCGGTCACCGTGCAAAGCCCGATATTTAAAACTCCGGCATTAATAGAATTTCAAGAACAACAGCATTCGTAAAAATTTTTCATTCCAATAAGGAGCCACTTTGTATAGGTTTCTGTTTCCAGAGATATTCTTTTGGTTCACATACCTATAAAAACACGAGTGCAGTCATTTATTTTTATCTTTTTCGCAAGTTAGTTTTGAGAAGAGTCTTAATATAATCTTTTTTTAGATGATTTTAGTGGTCAAACATTACACATTACATATAACATTACACAAATAAAACTTAAGGAATATTAGTTTTGATTTTAATATTTCGTGCTAGCTCAATCCAAGATTTCTGATGATCATTTGCCTGAATAAATTGAGAGATATGATGGAGTTTCATTTTGATATACATATCTATTTAACTGCATACAAGTTATATACACTAAATAATAAATCTACAACTGTTTCAAAATCAATTGAAGTTAATTAAATTGCGCAATATACTCCCTTGTTTTATTAGGATTGATATATTCAGCATTTGTTTATTATGCTCAGAGAGAGCAATTCTATCATTGACGCAAAAAAATTCATATTGAAGATATTTAGATTCCTATAACCTACCTTCATATCCACATTTATTTTTACCATAAAAAAAGATTTTGAACTAATTTCTAACATATTGTTTTTTATTTGTTTTTCTTTTTTGAAATTGACTATTATTTGAAAAATAAACCTTAACATTTTTCTACGTGCCTAAATATTTCAACATCATATTTGATTATATTTGTGGCTATATATTTTGTGCACGTGCTTTAAACCGTCATCATACATCGCTTTCAATGAAATTTCGTCACAATTGAAATTAAACCGAAATTTTTAATCATCATTGCTTCACACACAAACACAACAACATTCATTCTTTGTTCATGCTGATGTTTTCTCATCATTTAAAAATGGACATAGACGGGCCGATCCGACTCTTATCGAGTCGCAACAGTTCCCTCAGTAGAAGATGACAATCTTACTGCTGACGGACAGTACAAGGTAAGAAACATAATTGGTGGAACAGTTAAAACAATTCTATTTAAGAATTTAAATTCTTAAATTTAATTACAGAAACTCTTTAATTATTGATTGTTAAAAAATATTTATTCTTTCATTTCTTCCGTTTTTTCGGTTAATTGCGTTTTTAATAATAATTAGATTAACTGATTATTTTTTACTTATTTGTGTTTTGATTTGCGTCATAATTGCCTATTTTTTTTCTTGTTTTTCATTTAGCACATTTCAAGTGTGTTAACAAAGATAAAGATAAAAAGATTTCTTATAAAGAGTCAAGAACATTTCAAAATAAGTTGATTGACACACACAACACGTACAAATTATGACACATCCATTTTATTTTTGTTTAACAATTTCATGTCGATTTTAATTTGCATGCCATTTTCTTCACGTTCTGAATAAACGATTTCAATAACAAAGCTACATGATTTAAAAAAGTAAATATAGTTGCTACTAAATTCAATATCACAATGAAATTTATTGAAAAATAACGAATGGAATCAAAATTTTAATTTGAATTAAGTTTTGTAAGATCTTGAGCTTTTTTCAACTATATGAAAGAAAAAAAATTATCATGATATTTTCTAGATTCATCAAACACTATAACTTCATTTAATAAAATGCAGTTTGACGTCATACACTTGTTCATGTGTGTTGTTTAGTGTCATTGTTTTTTCTTGTACATTAGCTTCTCGATAAAAGCAAATCGATAGGATGAAAAACCTATTAATCAAATGCATAACTAGGGGTACCTATTAAAATGTATGTATGTTTCCATATTTAATATTTATGCACTGTAGGTAAATATAGATGCAAATCATCTTTTATTGTGTTTTATGCTTCAAATAGAAAACAATTTGACATTTAAATAATTAAACAAAAATTGTGTTCTTAAATCAATTGATAAACATTTTTTTGACATCAATAGTCAAGACGAAAGATGCCACCCAAACCAAAAAAGGACAATTTGGATGATCTGAAACAGGAATTGGACATAGATTATCACAAAGTAACAAGCGAGGAGTTATATCAAAGATTCCAAACACATCCTGAAAATGTAACTAACATTAAAACATAAATATGAAAATGAAACAAATATTTTATATATTCTTCCCATAGGGTCTAAGTCACGCTAAGGCAAAGGAAAATTTGGAAAGAGATGGACCAAATGCTTTAACACCACCCAAACAAACCCCGGAATGGGTTAAGTTTTGCAAGAATCTCTTTGGTGGATTCGCCCTTCTGCTGTGGATCGGAGCAATTCTATGTTTTGTTGCCTATTCGATTCAAGCAAGCACGGTTGAAGAACCAGCCGACGATAATTTATATTTAGGTATTGTACTTTCTGCCGTCGTTATAGTTACTGGTATTTTCTCATATTACCAGGTATGTTTCCGCAAATAAGATTAATTAAATTTGTGAAGTGATTTTTAACCTTTTTTCCTTTGCATTTCTAATCAATATTTAGGAATCGAAAAGCTCGAAAATCATGGAATCTTTCAAAAATATGGTACCCCAATTTGCCACGGTTATTCGTGAAGGTGAAAAATTAACTTTACGTGCTGAAGATTTGGTATTGGGTGATGTTGTTGAAGTCAAATTTGGTGATCGAATTCCGGCTGATATTAGAATTATTGAATCCAGAAATTTTAAGGTAAATTGAAAAAAAATCAACATTTTCAGCTTTTACTTAAATTTTCTAAATACTTTTTAAGGTTGACAACTCGTCTTTGACTGGAGAATCAGAGCCTCAATCACGCGGTCCTGAGTTCACACATGAAAATCCTCTTGAAACGAAAAACTTGGCCTTTTTCTCAACGAATGCTGTTGAAGGAACTGCAAAAGGTGTCGTTATATCTTGCGGTGACCGCACTGTCATGGGTCGTATTGCAGGTTTAGCATCTGGCTTAGACACTGGCGAAACTCCAATTGCAAAAGAAATCCATCATTTTATTCACTTAATTACTGGCGTCGCTGTATTTTTGGGTGTCACCTTCTTTGTTATTGCACTCATCCTTAACTATCATTGGTTAGATGCTGTTATCTTTCTTATTGGTATCATTGTTGCCAACGTACCCGAAGGATTATTAGCTACTGTCACTGTCTGTTTAACTCTAACTGCTAAAAGAATGGCATCAAAGAACTGTTTAGTGAAGAATTTGGAAGCAGTTGAGACACTTGGATCCACATCAACAATCTGCTCAGATAAAACTGGAACATTAACACAAAATCGCATGACTGTTGCACACATGTGGTTTGATAATCAAATCATCGAAGCCGATACTACAGAAGATCAATCTGGTGTTCAATATGATCGTACAAGTCCAGGATTTAAAGCTCTGTCACGTATCGCTACATTATGTAATCGAGCAGAATTTAAAGGAGGTCAGGAAGGTGTTCCAATTTTAAAGAAAGAAGTGTCAGGTGATGCATCAGAAGCCGCCCTTTTGAAATGTATGGAATTAGCTCTTGGTGACGTTTTAACAATTCGTAAGCGTAACAAGAAAGTTTGCGAAATTCCGTTTAATTCAACAAACAAATTCCAAGTATCAATTCACGAGACAGAAGACGCAAGTGATCCACGATACTTGTTAGTTATGAAAGGTGCACCAGAAAGAATTTTGGAACGTTGCAGTACAATTTTCATTAATGGAAAAGAGAAACTCATGGATGAAGAGATGAAAGAAGCATTCAATAATGCATATCTTGAACTCGGTGGTCTTGGAGAGCGTGTGCTTGGATTTTGTGATGTTATGCTTCCATCAGATAAATATCCCCAAGGATTTAAATTCAACTCGGACGATCCTAATTTCCCATTGGAGAATTTACGTTTTGTTGGTTTGATGTCCATGATTGATCCCCCGAGAGCAGCTGTGCCTGATGCTGTAGCCAAATGTCGTTCAGCTGGTATAAAAGTTATCATGGTTACTGGTGATCATCCTATCACTGCCAAAGCCATTGCTAAATCTGTTGGAATTATTTCCGAAGGAAACGAAACTGTTGAAGACATTGCTCAACGTTTAAACATACCCGTCTCAGAAGTTAATCCTCGTGAAGCTAAAGCTGCGGTTGTTCATGGAACTGAATTGAGAGAATTATCTTCAGATCAACTCGATGAGATTCTTCGTTATCATACAGAGATTGTTTTTGCTCGTACTTCTCCCCAACAGAAACTCATCATTGTTGAGGGTTGTCAACGTATGGGCGCTATTGTTGCTGTAACTGGTGATGGTGTTAACGATTCTCCCGCATTGAAAAAAGCTGATATTGGTGTCGCTATGGGTATTGCTGGTTCAGATGTGTCAAAACAGGTAAAATATAATCATTTGCTTCAACGCAATGTTGAAAATTCGTATCAAATACATCTTTTTTCAGGCTGCTGACATGATTTTACTTGATGACAATTTTGCTTCGATCGTTACTGGTGTGGAAGAAGGTCGTCTTATTTTTGATAATTTGAAAAAATCAATCGCCTATACACTCACATCAAACATTCCTGAGATCTCACCATTCTTGGCATTCATCTTGTGTGATATTCCTTTACCATTGGGAACTGTCACAATTTTGTGTATTGATTTGGGAACGGACATGGTAAGTTGAATTTAATTTATTCGTATGTGATCTATCTGACCCCTTCCTCATCAGTCTAATCAGATGATAGGAGTTTCAAAATTGAATGATTATTTGTTTACAAATATCTAGTTACAAACGTTAATTCTATTGCAAAGAGTTTTGTCTACAAATTATCAAATGCGATTGGCAAAAATAAAACGAGTAAATGAAATTTTTTAACCTCTGCGGATAATATTGTCATTGCCATTGATAATTAACTTGAAGAATTCGGTTAAAACAGCATAAAAAAGAATAGCAAAAGAATGAAAAAGAAAAAATTGAATGAAGTCAATAATAATTAATGTGTGTTCAGGTCCCAGCAATATCTCTCGCATACGAAATTGCCGAATCAGATATCATGAAAAGACGACCTCGTAATCCATATTCTGATAAATTAGTCAACGAGAGGTAAAATTTAAATTACCACCAAATAGCTGAACACACAAAGTCATATTTAAGCTATTCAAATAATTTTTCTCTCTATTTCCTTTCCTGTTACTTAAATATTTATTCATAAATTAAGATAAACTTGAATTGAACTTCTACTTAGTTTTCTGCCGTAATTTTGTTACTTAGATTTTTTGAGCGTGAAATGTGATATAAACTAACTTAGTGATCTTCATAATAGAACCTGATTCTCAATTACATAAAAAATTGAATGGTGTTTATATAACATTTTCATGCGATTATTGGATGCCAACACCTTTGTCTTATATAGAATGTTCAAAATATTTTCTTTATATAGATATTTACTTAATTTTTTTTTATCTCAATGCGTCTTGAGATGATTTCGTTATCAAATTGAGAGCAGGCAAACTTTATTATTTATTTATTTTTTGCACATTTACATTTATGACGACTGAATAAGCATTCGCTCCAAAGATTCAATTCTGCCAGAAGATTTTGTTTGGTGTATGTTATCATTTTCATAATAGGAGTATTTCAACAACAGATTTTTTGATATTTGAAGGATGCTTTCAATGATCCAAAAGTAAAATTGATTATTTTTTAATTTTTGCCTCCAATGAAATGAGATGAGGATTTTTAAACTTATTATGTCAATTTACAAAATAAATTTAAATTTGAAGAATACAAATCAGATATAATAGATCTTCTTTGATCTTGTAAAGAGGCGGTATCAGAGTTATTATGTTCAATTTTTTAAAATACATTTTTTATTATGTTTTATTATAATTTGTATCATTATTTTGATTTTGAATTATTTGATGCATACAAAAAAAGGTGCCCGCCATTTCACTTGCCTATGAAATTGCTGAAGCTGATATTATGAAACGACCTCCACGAGATCCGTTCAACGATAAACTAGTCAATCAAAGGTTTTGATGTTATTTTGTTTATTTATTTTTTATTTATACAATACACTTTTAAGAATCCTAATCAGAATGACTTACATTTCGTTTGTCTTTCTCCTTATCGTTTTATGTATTCTCTAATATCCGAGAATACTTAAAGATTACATGAAAATCCTTCACATCCTTCTAACAAATGCCTTGAACAAATGTCTTGAAATATTTCAAGTTATTGACAATATTAACAAAAGATTGCCTATATAAGTATAAAACCATGAAGTGTCTTCTTGAACTAATATTATGAAATATGTCATATTACTAGAATAGGAACGCAATGCACGATCCCTAATTTAGTTTCCATTTTATTTTTATTTTATCGAATTACGGAGGTTTTCGTTTCAATTCAGTCGAATTGAAACATCACATTAACTTAATTGAAATACATAAAATTGTTTTTTCAATGAAAAATTAAATCTTTTTAACTATGTTACATATATTTGAGAAGTAGAAAGACTTTTTTGATATAACGTGAGCAATCAAATAATTTAAGGAAGAAATCACAAAAGTGTCGTTCTAACAATAGTTTACTCCGTAAACTGTCAAATGATAGAAATCTTACAATCGTTTTACTTTTAAATTCGTTAAAATTCATATTATTCATTGAAATTTTACTTGAAATTTCGTACATTTTTTTTCTTGCTTATATTGTCATGTTTATGCTACGAGACCTTAATTAAAATCTGATAATTTAACTATACTTACATTTATAACTTTTTTCATACGACTGAAAGAAATAACCAAAGTGATATCTATTATAATTGATTTTTTCTAATGAATTTATAGACTTGAAAATTTAAAGAGAAAAATTTAGCGAAAAAGTTTATTTTCTTAAGGATATCAGATATTTATTGACTACTGTTCAGTTTTATTTCTTCCTTTCAAATTTAGTTCATACATAATATACCGTAGAATAATTATTGCGAATTCAAACATGTAAGAAAAATTTTACATAGTTGAAAAATGGAGAAGTTTAGTGATATTCAGTTTTAAAGATCAATCCTTTTTAAATAAGGTCTCGTTGAATTTAGATTCGTTTAGTTCTTAGTTAAATGCAATTATTCCAGTGTTCTGTCATATATCCCAAATCATTTGTATTTGTACTGTGTTATTCTACCTTAGCATTGTGTTATTCAAACACCACGTTTCTCTTATTTACATACGATACAACAAAGTTAGTTATTTGCTCAAAACATTGTTTATGTTGATTTTTAATTGTTTGCACTTTTGAATTTTTCACACATCCCAATTATTTTTCTACAAAATCGCTAGGTAGTAATGGTCAATGATTTGCTGCTACGACTTTTTTAATTTGCAGATCGAAACAATACATTTTAAATTATTGCAGTAAATTAACTATTCTTACAAACTGTCAGTTATATAATGGGTATATGAATCAACCACATTTGTATTAAAAGATTTAAAATAAGCAAATACGACCAAAACGACGTGAAAGATTCAAAATCTATACTTTTTAACATTCAGATTATCAAGACTTATTAAATTATAAGTACAAATTGAAATTTCTTTTTTAAAATTATATCTAATTGTTTCAAAAAAGAGGAATGAATCATCAAAACAATTACCTGTATCATTTTTGAAACACCCTTTATCATGTAGGTTCCAGCTATTTCCTTAGCTTATGAAGAAGCCGAATCAGATATTATGAAAAGACAACCGAGGAATCCATTTACAGATAAATTGGTTAACGAGAGGTAACAGTCCAAAAATCTAAAAAGTGCAGAAATTATATAAAAATTTACACAAAAATTACTGCTTAATAATTAATCAGTGGGTTATTATATACATATCTACATATATATATATTTGAATTTATAACCTATGAATGCAGTTTTGTAAAAATTTGATTTAATTGGATTATAAATATTGGGTTTAAGATGACTTAAAAATGTTTCGATCGTTTGAATGTTGGCCACATACTTAATTTAGCATTATTTTCGTCTAAATTTTGGGGTATAATTTGTCTTCTTTCTTCGAATAATAACTTAGCAATATTCAAACCATCAAAACATTTTTTTTTCTTCAATTTTATGGCTTTTTAATTTGATAACCTTAATTGAAAGTACAGAATTCAGTCAATAACCACCTCTTACAAAAATCTTTCAAATATTATCAACGTTGTCTTTTTAAATGGTGTGCAACTAAAATATCCTTTGAAAATATTTTACATTTTTAGAAACATTATTTTGAAATTAAGTATTCATAAGTCTCATAAAACTTACGTTTATAAGTATGTAGATTTTTAATAATGATGAATATTAGATTTTACAGTACGACTAATTCATACAACCATTTTTTAAAAACTTTTATTTCTCAGAATTGAAAACTAGAACTAAATGGAAAAATACTTTTTATTTTGCTTACGTCATGAACTTTCATTTTAGCTTAATACTTTTTGTGGATTTTGACTTATCGTTAAAAATAAAATAACAATAATATATCTAGAATTGTAAAATCATGGTCCTATTCTAAAATTCTATCTTGATTTTCAATTCTGCGAATTATGTTTTTAAAAAAAGGAGGATATATGAATTTATCGCACTGAATGATGGATTTCTCTTTGGTTTCATTTGGAATTAACATAAAGTAATACTTATTAGTTATTTATTTGCCTCTTACTTACTAATTTATAAAGTTTTCTTCTTTTTTATTACGCTAGAAATAGTTTGCAATTGAAAAAGATTTTATTTATGAGTGTTTTTTTTACATTATCTAAATATAAAAAATGTTAATTTAAAATATCTTGCACAAATAACACTTTCCACAGTTTAATGGTTTCTAATATTATTTCATTTAGAATTTGAACAAATATTTAGTATATAACAGATTTATTCAAAAGCGTTTTAAATCTCTAAACGTCTTGCTAATTTTTTCTAACATCTAATTCAATTCTTTGAAGTCTGCCTGTTGCTATTTTTTTTGTATCAATTGATAATTCTTTTTAATATTTTATCTTTGCAATATTTAAAAAGCAGTTGAACAATTTAAATTTTTATCAGTAATATTTGGCTTTCAAATTCCTTTTGATGTTTTCATAAGTTCTATAAGATAAAGTGCTATCATGTTCTTTAACGAAAGATGTCTAGCTTAAAATAGTAAAAAATACTTCAAAAATATAATGAAGTCAACTACCTTCATACTGTAAGGTAAGTTTGTTGTTTCTGAATACAACCGTTTGTTTCAGAAGAGGAAGAAATCACCATTGATTGTGCTTCTAAAGATGTACTTACGAATGACGTATATCCTGTTTTTTCAAAAATAATTCGTTGATTATTTGTTTCGTATTTTTATCAACTTTGTGATATTATTTTAATTTTGTTAAAATACATTTGCACCGATTGTACAATACATAATATGTTAAATTATTTACTTACATATTAACATAACTTTTTGTGGATGTACATATATCTAAGTGTTGTTTCTCAGCTTAAAAAGGAATACAATCATCAATCGTATTTGTGATATTGATGTTCATTATTTAGTAGTTTTCTCAATGCAATTTTGTTTACCCATTTAATCATACCATACGTTTATTTTTTCTTTTAAATCAGCATAACACTTTTTTTCACCTACAAAAAAAGAAATTTTTCCTTTTTTTCCTAAGATTGTTCAATAATAACATTTGTATAGATTTGAAAATAGAAATGACTACACTTTAATACTTATATTTATTGGCATGAAAGATGTCGTATTAACCAAATTCTTTCAACTTCTGCTTGAAATATCAGAAAAAATAATTAATTAACCGGCATCGAAAAGAAGAAATTGCTTTTTTGTACATTTTCCAAGCTCACTTCGTATGAATCTTACTACCTGTGATCGGTAGTTAATATTATTTTTATAAAAGTTATCTACTTTCTACCTCCGAATAACATCTATCCATATTCATATATAAAATTATATAATACTCGTATGTATATATCCTCAAAAACTTATTTCAAGGTTAACTAATTATTCGGTAGTTGAAATAAAATTCAAAAGTTTTGCATTACTTATGCTGGGGCACGACTGAGTGTTTTGCATTACTGCTACGTAGCATTGATAAGGCGGATAATTTTGTATAATTTGCAACGTCGTAACTCATAATGACTATTGAAAATACAAAGAAACAAAATATTTAATTATTTATTACTTATCGCTCGTAACTTAAAATGAATACCAAAAACATAAGCTGTTAAGGTTTATAAGCTAAAAACATGTTTCATGTATTTATAAAAGCTTAAATTATGCTATTTAAATAACAAGGAACACTAAAGTGTTTTTAACGTAAATTAGCAGAAAAAAAAATAATAATTTTTGAACCAATTTTGCCCTGTTGTTATTATTACTATGTAAAGGTACCAGCTATTTCGTTGGCCTATGAAGCACCGGAGAGCGATATCATGAAACGTCAACCACGAGATCCATATCGCGACAACTTGGTCAATCGCAGGTCAGAAATATAAATTGCGTTGACGATTTTTCAATGCAAAGAACAAAAACAAATAATAAAATTTAAAAAGGACCTGTTAGTAGTTTTAATTTTAAAAATTGAATTATATACTTATAAATAGGGTCCAAAAATTTGCCTGAAACTCATATGTTTGTCATCTTCTGATATTGAAAATTTTTCTGACTTCTATAAAACTGTTAAAACATTTTAATTGATTTAAAAAGAAACAATCATAAATGAAGTGTTTTTGGGAAAACATTTTCAAAACAGAAGATGACTTTTTGAATTATTCCACATTCGCTAAATGTTTTTGTTCACTCAGATAATGCAAAGTTGTTATTGGTGGAAAATTAATAAATCACGTGTACGATGAAATGAAAGAGTTTGTCTACTCATTGTGTCGTTTGGAATTTTTTAATACAATGTTGATGCTTTTGATGTTCATTCAATTGTTTTGTCAAAAAAGAGAGAAAAGGAGAATAATAATTAAAACAAACTCTTGGTACATTCTATACTGTTAAAATAGGCAACGAAAAATAAAAAAAAACTCTAAAATTCTTATTAAAACCTTCAGATTTTAATTTAAATAAATAAATAATTCTTCTTATTGCGGATTCCTTCAAAAGTAAATTTCATTTCAATCAAATCCAAATTTAATTCGAAAATATTAACAGAAAATCAACATCTCAGATTGATTTATTTAGCAATGTTTAAATAAAAAATTTAGTAACATGAAAAGCAAAAATTTTTATTACTAAAGATTTAAATATAATTACATAGTATTTAGATAGAGAAAATTAGCAATATTTAAATAATGGTCATTTTTTTCTTCTTAAAATAGACATTTTAGTAGATTTTCTGTCTACTAAATATCTAAGTATTTCTTTAAAGTACAATTTCTGTAATTTGGATTATATTTTCAAAACATTCAAATAGACTTTAAAGAATATTTTATGAAATCAGCTTAAAAAATATTTCATTATTCTATCTCTATCTATGATTTATTAAGGTTTATAAATATACCTAAAGCTTATCACCAGCTTTTCTATTTTCGATGTAATTTTCGTCTATTTATGAACTAATAATGGAGTTTAAAATCTAGTACTATTTATTGCATATACTTTGCATTTTCTTGAGTAAAATTTATCGTCCAGGAATGTCTGTACCAAGAAAAAAATACTATTTATTATTTGAAGTTAAATTTAAATATATTGCGTTTTTCTATTGTTGATGTTGTGGTTGTTGTTGTTGTGTGGACTCAAAGAGTTATGTCGTTTCATGTTAAGAATTAAAAGAGAAACACACAATTTGCTCTTTCATCTAAACGTAATGACTAAGATATTTATTTTAATTATTAATCTCTAATGTGTGATCCAAAAGTTTTTATAAATGCAAAATTGATAAAGGATTTTATAATCCCTTTTTATATGAAAGAACAAATTGTAAAGTTTTATTCAGGGAGAATAAGGGGCATATATGTCTTGTTTAATGGGCTTAGTTTAAGTTCAATGAACCGGTTTTTTTCTTAAATAAGTACATATATGAGTAGTATTAATTAGGCGTTTAATAATACAGTAGAATTTCAATCATTGACCGTAATTTTAAAGTAAAGGTTAACCGTAAAAATTTAAGCAGTAATTATCGATGTTTTTACACGTTCATTTAGAAATCAGCATATAAAAATTCTACTGTAGATATTAACATTCGTATTCAATAAAAAGTCATTTCGTTTTTGAAAAACTATTAGAAAAGATTGAATATTTTTATTCAAATTAGATTAATCTTAGTCGGTAGTATTCTGCACCGAACTTTTCAATCTGAAGATAATTGTTTTCAAATCGTTACGATCTTTATGAATACGACAAGAAAAGTTATTGTGTTTCTGCAAGTGACATAGATGTTGTTAGATAGTGTAGTAGATGCCAATGAAGCAAATTTCAAATATGTAAAATATTGATAAAATTTTTATGTAGGATGTATTTAGATATGCGTAGTAGAATTCTTTTATAAACGTTGTAATTCGGAAATTCTATCTTTTTTCTGTTGCATAATTTTGATGATTCGGTTATTGCTCGAAATTCTCGCATGATTGGAATAAATAGAAATATAGTTTGTATTTCAAACAAAAAATATATTTGTCTAGCCAGTTATTCACTACCTAGAGATGAAAAAACTTCAAACTTTGCAAGTATTATTCTATTTATATTTAATTTAGTTTAATTATATTTTTAATTTGACTTAATATATTAGGTTTTAAGCCTCTAAATCCTAAACTTATTTATTTTTCTGAGGACAGACCACAAATTTCGATCTTTTATGTTTTATTTTAATTTTCCATACTCATTCATCTAATACGTTTTTTAATAAGTCATAATTTCAATGAGAACAGATGAAGCACTCAATGAGAGAAATTGTAAGTTGAAGCCTTACCTAATTTTGTATTGGAACTAAGTTTAAAGCATGTTTAAAGTAACAGAAAAATATTCATTAGCAAAGATTTCTATATGTTTATGTATATATGCTTTTATTATATTTATTTATACAATAATCTTTTTAGTCCTATGCTTAAAATTTTATTGCTTTTATGTTTTGTAGCTTGTCGCATGTGCAATTTAACAAAATTCGCTTACATAAAATATTTAGTATGTATACTGTTTACTAACAAATATACCTATATGTATATATATAAAAATGCTTTTACATAATACACACATTAAATATAATATATTTTTCATGAAAAGTTTTTCGTTTAAAATGATTTTTAATAAAAATAGAATGAAAAGCTTGTCATGAAATATAAAGAGAAGGATTATTTCTCATTTTTCTCAAAATTAATTGAATGACAACTTCTACAGACTTATATCTATGGCATATGGCCAAATTGGTATGATTCAAGCTGCTGCTGGATTCTTCGTATATTTTGTCATTATGGCTGAAAATGGTTTCTTACCTGGAACATTATTTGGTATTCGAAAACACTGGGATTCGAAAGCAGTTAATGATCTAACGGATTCCTATGGACAGGAATGGGTAAAGCTGGAATTTTTTTGCAATTTGCCAATAAGAAAAAAATAATCTTTTTTTTTATTAGACATATCGTGATCGCAAGACATTAGAATTCACATGCCACACTGCTTTCTTCGTATCAATTGTCGTTGTACAATGGGCTGATATTATCATCTGTAAAACACGACGCAACTCCATTCTTCATCAAGGAATGAAGAACTGGGCATTAAATTTCGGTCTGATCTTCGAAACAGTATTAGCTGCAATTCTTTCATATACACCTGGCATGGATAAAGGTTTACGCATGTATCCATTGAAGTAAGTTATATTGAGTTATATTGCTCTTCAAACTGTTAGTTAAAATGGACTGTTTTCTTTTCAGATTCGTGTGGTGGCTACCGGCCTTGCCCTTCAGCTTAGCAATTTTCCTGTATGACGAAACTCGTCGATTCTATTTAAGACGTAACCCAGGAGGTTGGCTGGAACAAGAAACGTACTACTAAAAAGTTTAAAGCAGTGGAATGAATATTTCTACGAGCTATGTATACACTAACACCCAACACACACACACTTGCTTGAAAAAAATAGAAAAATCATTAAAAGTGAAAATAATAGCGAATGAAATAGAAAGAGGAGCATATATTGTGACCACACGAAGAGTAATAATTAATAATATGTAATTAAAACAAAACTTTTTAAATGAAACTCAACTTTACTTTCGGGAGAAATCTAAAATTACCTAATTTCTTAAAAGCACACGGTTCTCAATCGCGTGTCGTAAATTTTTCACCTTTGACCATCATTTTTGTCACAAGTTCAATTTTCATTAAAAACTATAGGAATGATTTTTTTTCACAAATAGTTATAAATAATAAAAACAAAAATACTATTAAAGTAATCATTAGATTATATATTTCTGTTTCAAACTTCAACACAAAAGTGGAAAATATCCTGATAAAATATTAAAAAATTAGATTATTTAAAAAAAAAATAAGAGATGAACAACAGAGTTCAGAATTTAATAAAGCAAAAAATGATATAAAAAATAAATGAAAATAGTAATAATTCGCTCTAGCCTCCTAAATAAAATAAGCATTAAATTTTCCGTAATTAAAAAAGAAAGTAATTTCGTCGTTAAAATTCGAGAAGAAAGTACAGAAAGTGTTTTTTCAATGTACAATATTATTATAAAAAATGAGGAGAAATGATGAAAATATATAAAATATGTTGAAATTACAATTATAAATAGTGTGTGTATTCATGCGTTGCAGCAGTGGTGTTCTTCAGAAAAAATATAATAAACATAAGCAAAAGAAACATAAGGTATAATTAAGCCTCAACATTTTATCAGCAAATGGAACTTAGCACACGATCAGTTTTTGATCAAAAGCATAATTCTCATATGTAACTATTTTGTTTCTCCTTTTCATTTCTCTTTTTAGAAATAAATTAGCATTTTATTTTCTGTTTAGATTTAAGAATCTATGAGAAACAAAAGATAAAGTAAATTAATAGCTAATAATCGTAGAACGAAAGCTAAAGATCATACTTGAAGAATAAATACAAAAATTAAATGACAAAAATCAATTCTTTTGATATGTTCACAAAACTACTTTATCACAGGATATCAGCAAATATGAAATCGTTAAAACATTAGACATCATAATGATTTGGTATTTTTATTGAATCTTCATAAAATGAGTTTTCAATTCCAAATTAGCATCTCCCGTCCCATTAATACTTTAGCTTAAATTTCAATTAATAATAAATACATTTTTTTTGACGATGTCAAATATTTAGGTAATTTTTTTTTTCAGGTTATTGAAACTCCTGATAAAAGATCAAAATTTTATCACTCCTCTCCCATTAATTTAATGATTTGAATCAAATGCTAAATATAATCATTAAAAATGTTTATATGATTTGTAACAGATAAACAGAAAAAAAAATTAGTTTTTTATGATACTTTGAGTATTGAAAAAGGGCTAAATCGAAGCAAATTTGATATGAAAAAGAACTGTTTGATCATTATAAAATTGAGCATCTCTATTATACCGAAATAAAAACTATTAAATTATAGGCTTTAATAGAACTAACTAAAAGTTATAAGGAATTTGGAGGAACGAAATAAAATGTCACCTTTAAAAATATGGAAAGAGTCAGTTTAAATAAATATTGTTAGAAATTCCGGTTGGCATCAGCTTCACACTCTGACAATTCTAAAATATACGTCACTTTTTAAATAAATACTGCCCATTTCTTGTTAATGAGAAAAATGTATGATGTCAAGCAGATGCATGTAAAGAAATATTAACAACAAAATTAAATTAAATTGAAAATAAATTTAAAATGTGGAGCACTCTCACGTTATTTTAGACGAAAACTGTGCAAGAATCTAAATATGTATTAAAATATATATGTATAATTCACAAAAGTTTTTATAGATGAATAATTAGTTGGAGATTCATTGTTATGCAATTCCTATAATTATTTTTCATTTTAGTTTACGAGCTTGATTGGATAAGTCGTTTCCACGTTCAACTAGGAAATGTCAACATATACTTACATTAAGAAATGCCTAAGTAGATGTAGCAACAAATTTAACAGTTAAAATTTTTGCTTTTTCACGTATTCATGCACTCACATGTGAATCATGTGATACGTTTTCTTTTTTTAGTATCAATTTTGAAAAGGGTTGCTCCACGCAAAATTTAAACAAATAAAATAGAAATTGTAGTTTCAGTACAGACATTTTCAATTAGATAATTTTGTCTGTGAAAAACCGCATAAAATACACATAAAATTAACCATGTAATGAAAATCTGCTATTAAATCATCTGAAAATAAAAATAAATCAGCAAAATTGCATATAATATTTCATATTTACAAAAAATAAGCCCAAAGCAAAATGAACTCTACAAAATGAGAAAAAAATTAGTTATTATTGATGAAATATCTAAATGAATAAATTATGATGAACTTTCTTCTTTGTTAATTAGAAAAAGATAAAAGAAGTAATTTTTTATCATACATAGGTATTTAATAGATGAAGTTGAGTTTTCAATTTTGAAGGCGACGTTTGTTTGCGTATAATTGCGCTTGAAAGCATTTTAGTTTGAAGATTTTCTTAAAAGATTACAAAGAAAAAACTTAAAAAATCAATAAAAATTTCATAAGCAGATTTAATATTTACAGCTTCGTTTAATTTAATAAAAAAAATCTAAAATGATGATAAAACTGCAAAAATTTATTAAGAAAAGAAATGCAAAAATGTTAATTGTATTTAAAATGTTCCAAAAGGTAAACACAATAAAATAGTTTTAAAAATCTTATCGTTAGTCTAAGTCATTTCATGAATGAATTTTTTTCGTCATGGTTACATAGCAGTGGACATAAAATATCTGTGTCTATGAATGAAAGATGGCGTCCAGTCTTTTTGTTTGTACGACTGGACGCCATCTTTCATTCATAAATATTTAACTTCAGTCGTCTCTGATTTACAATCTGTGTCTAATTTGAAATAATTATCTTCTAATGAATGGATAAAACTTTTCGAGGATTCAGTTTATGATGGTGAAGAACAAATGAAAAATAAGGTTTTTGATAATGTTTGCTGAATTTGAATTGGCAGTCATCTAAAACTACTGATCTTTAGGATATGTATCAAGATATGTATAATTTCTACTGCTGACTGTAAGAAAAAATATATCTAGATAAAAATAAAGAATCTGAAATGTTTTCTCCTTAGCCATTCATTGACATTTTTATTATGCGTTTTTTCTCAATGTCGATTTGAAATTTCTCTGGGATCAAATTGAAATTTATAATAATCATCAGTAAATTTCGATGAAAAGAACATGAACACTGAAAAATGAATTTATATATGTTTTGCTTAAGAATTCTGGATACATCTTTCAAACTCTTCAAGACTTAGCATTTGTCCATTTGCCTTCACTGACGGTAATTTTCCAGCCGACGCATCTGCCAACAGTTCAGGTGAAAACCATTTTGCTAGTTGATTACTTGTTGGTGATAAACAACCGCCATTATTTGCCATATTTCGATTTTCCACTAGATAAAAAAAATTGTTTTGAAAAAAGAACACCGAATAAAAAAAAACAAAACCAAACTCACACTCATCTTGATCTTTTGGATGGCCTTGCATCATTTGATGAGATACGTTGTTCATTTGTTGTGTACTGGACTGTGGAAATTGTTGTGAACGAATCATATGTTGTGCACGTGGTTGATACTGCTGCGCGATGAATTGCGTCAATGCTGGATTATCCATTTGCTGCTGCGTCTTTAGCTGCATCATTTGTTGATGCTGCTGACTTAAAAATTGCTTTTGCATGTTCATTTTTTGAATATGCTGTTGTTGAAAATCATAATTTCCACCCATCATGTTGGGCTGTTGATGCTGAAAATTTGATATCATTGCATTTGCAGGTTGTTGTTGAAGCTGCTGCTGAGGATTTGTAGGTCCAGCACTTTTCACGATTGGACGACCTAGAAAACAATGAAAATTTAATTAAAAGAAATTTCAAACTATTCAATTACCTTGCGGTTTCATAGGTGATTGGGCATCCCATGCAACTTTTCCATAGGCTTCATTTTGAGCATGTAATTGCATAATGCGATCCAATTGTGATAAATTTCCCATGAATTGTTGTTGTGATAACTGTTGATTTCTGTTAATAGGTTGCTGAGATGATTGAGATCCAATTATTGGCTTCTTTTTATCAACACCAACTTTGTGGCCATTTTCACTTTGTCCGCTTTCTTTTTCAGCCGTCATTTTACGCAGAACCGAAGTTGGTGTAAAAATGTTGGGAGATGGTGCGTGTTGACGCTGTTGCTGCACTTGATGATGACTCGATAACTGAACACCTGGTGTCTTTTTTATCGGTGAATCAATCGGTCCACATTTGGGATCATCATCTTGTGAATGCACTGAAGATGTCAGCGAATTTGTAGGATCCTGTTGTTTTCTTTCACTATCCTGCTTTTGTATTTGTTCCTGCTCCTGACGTTTACGGAAGTTTTCACGTTGTTCTTCTAGTTTTTTACGAATAAGAGCATTCTGCATAATTGACTGTGTATGATACTGAAGTTCACGTGGCGATGGAATCCTTTGAGGAATTCCTAAATAAAAAAAAAGAAAAATTAATATTATTTTAAAGACATAAGAAATCAATTATAAATCATGAGAATAACTTAGAAAAGCTGACATAAACATTTATATACCTGGCACATGCAGTGTCAAAGTATTATTCGGTGGCAAAACAGCTGGACCAATTGAAAATCCTTGAACGCGTGCGTGCAAGAAATCAATTAAAAGATTTGATTTACCATTTTTCTTTATCTTCTGTTTTGTTTTGTTAAATTTTGAAAGCTCATTAAATAAGAGCAAGAAAAATTACAAAAGAAAGATGATCTCTTACGTTTTTATGGAAAATGGATATGAATAAACATTTCGAATTTGTTTTTGATATAGTCTAGGAGAAAGCCTATATTCTGTCTCAGAATATCCCGAAAATAACAATTTTCAATGCAATATTGAAGCATCCAGTGACATTTTTTAAAAGATCAAAATTTGTAAATACCTGTAGCTGGCAATGGTGAAAGCCGAAGTTTATTTGCCGGTGAAGCTTGTTGAAATAAAAAGTTCTGATCAATTGCTGGAACGGGAGAAAGAGGTGATCCCTGTGACATTGGAATAGATGCTGTCAAAGCATTCGTCGATTTCATTGGTTGAAATAAGCTACTTGACGGAATCGGTTTTTGAAACATAACTGCACCTAGATTACCGCTGTTGCTGTTGAAAATATTGAGAGCGCTAGTTATGGTGTCTCGGTCGAAAGGCGAAAGGCCTGGGGCTGCTAATCTTTGCCATAGAACATTACTTGATATTTCACCCGATGTAAGATCTAAAATATTTTATATTTAATATGTAATAATATTTTTAATTTAATTAAATTTCTACAGATATTTTTACCTTGAACCAATGCCTGGATTTCAGGTCTTTTCATGGTTAACACATCCGACATTTGAGGAAGTTGTGGAAGTTTCTGTTGCTGCGTAAATTTCATCATTTCAATATTATTTCCAAACTGTTGTTGGGGTGGGATCATATGAGCTCCAACAACAGGGTTCGGTGATCCCATTGGAATATTATTAATCATTCTCCCTGTCATTTTTCCACTTGCGATGAGTCCTTTTTGTTGCTGAATCGTCAACATCATATCGTTTTCTTGTTGCGGAAATTGTTGTTTGTTCATCATTTGCTGAAGAAACTTTGATGATGATGATGACGATGAGAGGTTAGAAGAAGAAGAAGGAGAAGACATTTGTGGAGGCAATTTGTTGTCATCGTTTGTAATTTGTGACAAAAGTTTCTTAAATGCATTAACATCTTCTTGATTTTGTTGATGTTGTGGTTGTTGCTGCATCTGTTGATGTTTTTGATGTTGCTGTTGCAAGAGGTTCGGCATGAGTTGTTGTTGAAAAAAATTCTGCAAAGCTTTTTGTTCGCCTTCATTGTTTTCGTTGCTATTAAAGTCTTCAGAGACTTTATGCTGTCTTAAACGAGCTTCAAGTTCTTCAACGCTATGAACCTGCCCAGAATTAGATGATTTTTTCTGTTGTTGCTGGTTTTGTTGTTGGTGGATCATGTGCATGAGAGAATTTTCATTTGATGATTGATTATCTAATGGACCTTTCAACAGATGAAATAAGGAATTACTTTCAACTTTCTCTATGGGCTGAAAATATTTCTCCGATTCAACACTTTGTGGGAATGATGAAATGTCCTCATTATTGTTTTGTAGGTCTGGAACTTTCTCATCTCCTACATCGGTTTTATTGACACTAAACCATTTGCTAAATCGTGAAGACTCTCGTTCATCACTCATCTTCTCTGGCAGCAACTGGTTCATATTCAGATTGTTAAACATGTCATCTAAATGATCGGTGATGTCAGCAGGAAGATTTTTGAGATCTTTTTTAGACACATCCTCGCTTTGCGGCAATTCATTTGCATTCATTTCATTTTTCTTCCCTTCTTTAATGACTTCCTCTTTAGCTTCTTCATTATTATTTTTATCATCTGACATTAATTTGTTATTTATATCAGTTTTTTTCTTTTCCTTTGTATCATCATTCAATAATGAATCGACGCTCTTCTTCGAAGATCGATGATCAGCAGCTGTTATCACGCGACTAGCATTGTCCAAAATGTTCTTATTTGATATCAATCCCGAGGAGTTATCATGAGTCTCGTATTTGTTGTTGTAAGCTTTCTTTAAAAAGCGAATATTACTGCCATTGTTGGTATTAGCACTAGTCACTTTGTAAATTATTCTTGATCCACTTCCCCCTCCTCCATTATTATCATCGTAGTTCTTAACTTTGTTGTGATATCTGCTATTGTAATATCCATCACTACCATCACCGTTGCCGCAACCACTGCGTTGCTCTTGATACCGTTTTTGATATGATAAATTCGACGATGATGATGAATTAGAGTGAAATGATAGAGGCGATATTGACTCCTCGCCTCGGCTGTTCATCTGGTTGAGTACGAACTTTGGCATCATATTAGCAATAAGCATCTTCGGAGGTGGTTTGTGATGGGCCATGCAAGAAAGATCAGGATTCTTACATGAAGGTTTAGCTTGTGACAATTTTGAGCTTCTTAAGGAAAGTAGAGTCGTTAGTGAATATCTGATAATTTCTTTTGCTTGGACTTTAGACACCTCATCAACATTATCGCCTGAATTAAATATTGGAGAAATGTTTAATTGCAAGAACAATGACCTTTATGTAAAAAAAACTTTCTTACTTTTCACTGCTCCGTCATCATCATTAACTTTCGTCTCACTGTCTAAAGATTGAACTACTTCAGCTGCAGACATTTTGATTTATCTTTGTAATGGGTTCAAGACAAAATCGATCGATGAAAAGCAAAGGAGCAAATTGTTTACAGCTATTTGAGACACTAAAAGAGAAATTAAAAATGAATAAATTATTATTTACTTAGTATTTAAAAGAAACAAAACTTATAATTAGTCAAAATACATCCCAATTTAACAATTTTCTTTTAATTATTGTTCCTAATGAAGTATCGGTAGAATAAACAAGATATTAGATACGAAAAATATAATTTCTTGAAGATAAAAATGAAAAAATCAGTTCGATTTTGTTGGTGCTTATTTTTCTATTCTTCCTCAAGATAAATAACATATATGTAGATAGGCTATATCATTTACATTGATAAAGGTACATAATTCGAATGTTTAAGTGGAAAGCTTTCTGAATGATTTGCTTCAGATATGAATAAATTTTATTTGCTCTTTGTGCAAGTCATTCAAATAGTTTCGAATTATTTAAAATGTATTACATATTATTACTTTATAGAGGGTTTTTAAAGGAATCCCTTTTTCTTAAATTTGAATGAATATTGAGTTAAAATGTAACTAAGAAAATCTTAACATTTTTTCATTTTTTTTATTTGATATCAAGGCCCAAATATTTTGCGTCATCATAAAGAAAAAAAATCGGAATTGCATATTTAAACTTTAAATATATATTTGTACACTTTACTTACCCTACGTAGATCTATCATTTACAAACATTTATAATTTTCCTTCCTATCTTTTGATGCATATAACAGTAAAGTTTTAATTTATTCGAAATTGAATTTTTTTTTCAATTCTCGAGAAAAAACACCTATTTTTATCTGATGAAACCTTTTATTAATATTTACAATGAGAAACACTAAACTAATTTTATATTTGGAATCAATCAATTGTATTAATGACGAAGAATCAATTTAATTTTCTGAAATTTTAATTAGATGGCTTAAAAATTATAAAAACGATTTAAGGAAATTAGGTAATTGTATCTTTCACTTATATCTAAAGATTATGGAACTTATAGAGGTACATTTTTGCTTTAAAAAAAACAGAAAGGTGGCAGCACAATCGGGGACGAAGATTTTTCTTCGTTCCGTGCACGGATTTCCAAGAATATCACGTAAGCAAATGACATTTTACATAAGATATCTTCAGACATTATTTGCATAGCCTTCAATGACACAATTGTCAAATTGTTAATTTTGTTTTTTTAGAAAAATCACAAACAAAGCGACGCGTCGATTTAGTTGAACACCTCTTAGAATTTCAAAGCAAAGCTTTGAAGTCGTGTATTTATTCTAAATTGTGCCGCAAATATTCCAAATTACTAAATAAAACCTGTATTGAAAATTGAAATAAATTTTACAATGGTAAATAGAAATATTAGCTTGATAATTAGAAGAACTGATTAGGATGTACTTAATTATTTTTATTATCTAGATAACAGACGTTCAACTCGCTATTTTTTCAAATGTTGTAGGAGTTATCTTATTCCTCCTTGTCGTAGGCTATCATTATATAGCCGCAAATACCGGAAGCAGGTAATTTCCTACTTTTAATTAACAGAGATGATGTACTTAAAATTATGTGTCTCATATTTTCAGGTCTCTGTCAAAATCTAAATAATATGTCAACTAATTTCTTGAACAACAATAATGTCTAATCTTACGAGTGTGTAAAAGTAATTTACTCTGTAAAGAACTATCTATATCCATATAATGAGTACATTTCCTTTAATTTAATAAAATGCAATAATCTTTCAAAATCATATATTAATTATTTTTTATCTTCATATGTATTTATTATTATCAAAACAAGATTTAATCAGAGATCTTCATCTGGTAGTCTCGTCAATCGGTTGGCTATGGACTTAGTGGCAAATGTCTATGACAACACTTTCTAACTTTAACAGAAATTGAATTGTGCTAACTAGACAGAGATAGCTGTCCGTTTTACATCCCATAATCAAATGTTTAATTTTAAGTTGACGTCAGCAAATATTAGTGAATTACCCCTTATATTTTAAAATTTAAAAATTCCAATAAATTAAAAATGATGTTGAACGTACTATTAATAAAATAATCTAACTTATAGAATAGGATAATAAATAATAGCGAACTTCAGGTTACAATCATAATCTGAAAATAAACATACAACTCACACATAGCATTCCGGAAAGCCTTTTAAAACCCCTGGTAAGATACTTTATAACCAATAGTTTAACACTGAAATAAATATTATCAAAGGTAACTCATAAAAATGAATCTTGGAGAGAGTTTTCCTAATTTCAAAGTTTCAACTACACTTGGAGATATAGACTTTCACCAATGGCTTGGAGATTCTTGGGGAGTTTTATTTTCACATCCAGCTGGTATTTAATTTTTTAAGCATAAATGAAAGTTTAAATACCTATTAGGTATGTTATATTATTGTTAGATTTTACTCCTGTTTGCACAACCGAATTATCAAAAGCTGCGAGTATAAGCAATGAATTTGGAAAACGCAATACGTAAGTCTGATTATAAATTATTTTATTAAAACTTTTAAAATTATAACTTCAACATTCATATTTTTTAGCAAAATCATTGCATTGTCTTGTGATCCTATCCATTCACATTTAGAATGGATAAAAGATATTCAAGCATATGGAAAACAAGCAGGTGAATTTCCCTTTCCAATTATTGATGACTCCTCACGGGAGCTAGCCGTAAAGCTTAAGATGTTAGATTTGGATGAAATAGGAAATTCGGGTCTTCCTCTGACTTGTAGAGCTGTATTTATAATTGATCCGAAAAAACGTTTGCGGCTATCAATTCTATATCCAGCTTCAACGGGAAGAAATTTTGACGAAATCATTCGTGTATTAGACTCTCTTCAGTTGACAGATCAAAAAAAGGTTGCAACTCCTGTAGATTGGAGACAAGGAGGAGATTGTATGATCTTACCTACTGTCAAGGAGGAAGAAATTCATTCTTTATTCCCTGAAGGTGTGGAAATGTTAGAAGTTCCATCAGGCAAAAAATACATTAGAATAACTCCATGTCCCGATACAATTTAATTAAGTTTAAAATGTTTTAAATTCAAAATTGAAAACAATAAAAATATTTCCATTAATCATCTCAAAGCATAAGAAGAACACGATTTGAACATTTTAATAGGTATTATTAGCTTGATTATTAGGTAGTAAAGAGTGAAATCATCCATGAAAACAAAAGTGCCTGTTTGAATCAAGTTAAGTTTTAAATATATTTATAAAAGTAGGTATAGTTATATGTAAAGAAGGAAATTTTAATTCTACATTTTGTTCTATATTTTGTTTCACCAGATCAATGAATTATTAACGGACAGTTCGTCTTCTAATTTTCCATTCGCAGTCTCTTGCGAATTTCGAATGTAGGTATTCAATTTCGAAATTAAAAGAAAATAGGAACTGTCCGAGGAAATTAAAAAAAATATTAGCTAGTTATAGATCTATTCCATTTTGAAACAATTCAGTAAAGACCATAGGAGTGAATTTTTACTTTTACAATGGAAAATCTTTTTAACTTAAACCATAAACTAGTTTTTAATAAGAAAGAAGATGCATTCGGTCGCTTCGGTACTATTTGTAAATTTTCATCGAACAATTTATTTGCTTATTCGTCTGAAATCGATATAATCACAGCTGAAAAAGGCTTTTTTGTCTATATGTTTGATTTTAATCTTCCATGGTATACCTATAAAGTGGCATCATTCAAATATCCTATCGTTAACATCGAGTGGGATCAATCTGGATACTTCATTCTTGTTGCTGATAATTACGGGAATATATCTGTATACACAATGGAAAACAATTTAATTTCAGAATGGATTGAAGTCTGCTCCGTCAGCTTTCCAAGGTAGTTTTAAAAAAGTTAATTGTTATGTAAATTTTAGGATTTTTAATTTATTTTTAGTGAAAATATAATCGCTACTAAGTTTTTTAATAATGGAATAAGAATAGCCAAATACCAACAAGATAAGAGAGATCAAGTCTTATATTCTGACAAGTATTATCGACCAAAATTTCAGCCTACAGTTCGAAAGTTTGGAGGTGTTTCCGATTTTGGATGCGTTTGTGTGACTTCAACAGGTCTCATTGGAGCTTTTTCTATAGATTTGAACTTTACTGGCAATGATAACAACAAAAAAACTAATAAAACCTCTAGGAATTTAGGACAAACCAGAGGTTTATGTACTTTAGCAGATATTTCATTTAAGAATGGACAGTTTCAAATAGCAGTTGTTAACTCAGCCCAAAAGAATTCATTAGTTCAGTGCTATAGAGTGCAAATTGAGAAGATCGATGAAGACAATTTGGTGATTGTAAGTAAATCTTTACCAAGTTTCTTCGTAAATGAAAGCATGGCATATAAAGAAGCAGTCGATGCAAAAATACATCGTCTTAAATGGATGTCACAAGAAGATTCAGACTCTTTAATTATATCCTCGAACCATTCAAGTGGAAGTATTGTTGAAATTTGGACCTTGAAAGAAGAACAAACACTAATTCACAAAATTTTTCAAACTACCAAGAATGAAGCGTATAAAACACTGGGCTGGTCTAATCAACAAAACTATAAGCACAGCAGAAAAGTTCTCGATGTGATTACAACAAAAGTTCAGTTCACTGCTAACTTCTACATATTTATTGCTTACCAAGATAGTTCAATTCATTGCCTTAACCGAGAAGGCTTGAAAAGAGTAGCTATCAACAATATTCATCTTACTGCATCTGCGTTAGAGCATCAAACAAAACAAATCAAAATTACATCCAAAATCACTTCTCTGGACATTTCTTATATGGGTCATATTCTCATCGCCACCGATTCAATCGGTCAAGTGTCGTGCTATCGCATTAACTTTGACCATATAATGAATAATTTAGTACACGCAGCAAACTTGTTTGAGTTTTGTATGATCAGTGGATTAGATACTTTAGATTCACAGTTGCTTCTTAAACCACTTTCAATAAATGATCTCGTCGATAAGCTAACTGATAATTTTAATCGGCAACCAAATCACGTGACTCAATTTTATTATTTGAAGTTTTTAACTATGAAGATAAATTTGTATCGGATGTGTAGCTTTGGCCAGAGTAAAGCTCATGACTTAGTTTGTTTGCTGAATTTAATTTCAATATCAACTGCATTCAAATCCTTATTAAGACCAGCTGATTTGATGACTATGAAAAATGGACCAGCTGAAAATCTTGCAATGAATTTGTCAGAATCGAGCCTTCCGGATGTAGATAAGGTTCTTGTTAATCTTGAAGCTAAAGATTTTACCGTTGAACCATCTACGCTTCAATCTCTTCAGCAACTTATCCAATTTGTCGCTGATCTTGCGCTTAATATTCTTTCAAAGCTCCCTGAAGGAAGAACATTTCTCAACACAAATAAGACAACCGGTGATTTATCAGATTTCACGGCTCTAAATTCAATTCGTGAACTGTTAGTAATGATTCGTATATGGGGACTTTTAAAGCCTCAATGTCTTCCTGTTTTTTCGCGATCGGCGGACAATTTGGATATTCTCGCAACTTTATTCAGACTTCTCACGAAGTTGGCACCTAAGCCTACCGATCCAGATGATCAACTTCTTGATGAATGCTGCTTGCTACCCAACCAAGTTCTTATACCACAAATACAATTAAATACACCGAGAATATCGCTTTCATCTCCACTCTTAGTTAATGCTCCTCTTCCTCTTCATCTTGAATATAACGTTGAATGTGATTTACTTGACTTCATTCCTGAACTACATTATGTTGAAGGTTGTTTAATGAATAATAACATAATGGATTCAATTCGTTACATTCACTTAGGCAAGAGCTCTGCAAATCTCAGAAGGTGTTCTCGATGTGGATCATACTCAAGTTTGAAAAGTGTGGCCAGAACGGCGGCTATGAAAGGATGGGAATCAAGATGGAATACTTGTAAGTGTGGAGGACTCTGGAAACTTGAAAAGTGTTAGATTTCTAATACTTATGTAAATGAAACGATGAAAGTTTAGATTCGTGTTTTTCCTTTATTTCTTAATTAAAATGATTAGGTAATTCTAAAAAATGATTTTTATTCCTTGTTTTTATTTATCATCCATTAAAAAATATCCAGAACTTTTGTCCTTTAATAAATATCTATTGATAGAGACTCTATTAAAAGCTAGATTTTTAGATTAGGAACTTTTTTAAAAATTTCATAAAACTTAAATAAACATTCAAACACGAAAAAAAAACATTTAGTTATACAATTCCATCAGGCATATAGTTGTGACATCTTGGAAAATTTTCAGGCGGTTGTCTCATATCTGTGATTTCACCAACTTGAATCATCAATGCCATACCAATGACCAAATGCCAGTCAAAATGACAGTGTAATAACCAATAACCAGGATTGTTTGCCCTAAATCGTAGCCGAACATATCCAGGATAAGGCAATACAACAGTATCTTTATAGGGTGGTCTTTTATATTTATTTTTTAATGGAATTGCGCCATTTCTTACGTCTTCCTCTGTGATATTTTCTCGTAATAAACCCGAATCCATTATATGAAACTTATGTCCATGGAGATGAATTGGATGAGTTATTTTGTCATATATGTTCACTACTATTAATTCAGCTATAGAATTGAGTTTGAATTTGATTCTGTGAATGCAGCGACAAATAGTTTTGGTGTCGTATTGGAAACAACTTTCATTTTTGATGCTTTTTTCGTCACAAAAAAATTCATCATGTACACGATTAGGTTCAAGAAGAAGTGGAAAAGATGGGTAAGCAAACGATATGTTATTGGCACTTCCAATAAAGCTCATTCCATTACCTGATGTTGTGACTGAATAAAAAAAATAAATTCTTAAATAAGATCGAGATTCTATTTTAGATTAAATAATCATTTTCTCAATTTAACTCACACATATACTTTTTCAACATGGGATTTGTGTAAAGAAAACTATTTGGAATTCCAGGAGTGTCAAAAAATATGAAATTAGTTTTATCGGCAGCTCCTTCGGAAATCTTGTCATCAAGTCGATAATCGTCCAAATGTGTGATTGGCATATACTTTTTGCCAGGTAGAGGAGAATTCAAAAGCTGTTTTAAAATTGTTTTTCAAATTATCTTGACAGCTTATAAGTTTTAATTGTAATTACTTACTGTTCCATTTGGATATTCTTCATTATATCCTGGTGGAATCCGATCATTAAACTCCACACTTTGTTTTTTATTGAGTTTATCAAGGAGTTTATTATTTTTGTGATATCTTAAAATTGCAAAACCCTCAAGTTCTTGAACACAGGGATTCAATTGTCGGAATCTTATCCAGTAATCTCGCAACGGTCGATGGTGTGTATTGATTACAAAATCATATCGTTCGCCAGACATGAAATAAAGTGAGTTTATGACTTGTGGCTTAACATAACTAACTTCAGTTGCTATTATTGTCATATTATGATCTTCTATTTGTAATAAGAATGGACAAACGTTTAAACCAGCATTTATGAGTCGAAAACGATATTTCTTGTCAGCTTCCACATGAAAGATCATCAGTGGTGCAAAACTTGATGAGTTTGTTGATTGCTGATAAGAATGAGTACATAAAAAAACTTATTTCAATTGTATAATAACTTACATTAAAAAACCTTCCATGCCCATTAATAAGAATACTTTGAGATAAACTCGATCGTCGCGTAAGTCCGGGCATGTGATCCTCCGACAATGCATGCATCCAGTCAGCCATCAAGATTGTATGTTCAGATAGATCATAATCGTAGGTTTGAATATTTGGATTGTCACTGTTTACACTTCTCACTATCAATGCACCATAAACACCATCAGCTTTTTGGTTGCCTGCGTGAGAATGATAGAAATGTGTTCCTTCATCCAACGCATAGAAACTGTAACGAAAGGATTCCCCATAAGGAATTGGGCATTGTGTAAGATAAGGAACGCCATCCATAAACTGAGTTCCGAACTGTCTCATCCCATGCCAATGAAGCGAAGTACTTAACCCTTCAGCATCGTTGTGAAGATCAATTACTAATATGTCACTTTTACAAACTTCAATTTTAGGGGCTGGCAATTCAAAGTTTAGAGATAAGTAGCTTCGACCTATCCCGTCAGCGATAACACATCTTTCATTGAAACAGTCATCAGCAATTCCATTAGAGCATTCCCCACACGACCTACAAGCAAACTCTATCTTGTTATCTTCTCTAAATGAAACGTTATCATTCTACAGAGGTTAACTTACCCACCCAATATTTGATACGTTTTCAATGTAAAATTAAAGTAACAAACTTTTTGATCATTTAGGCTACACTTACGAAGACACTTTTCACCTGGGATAGCATGTTTCATGAGATGTGAATTCAGATTTTCTTCACTTTCGTTGAAACTTTGTATCAGGTTATTGAGCATTGAATTTGCAGTAAAGGGATATGTAAGAAAACTATAATTTTCTTTAATGCAAAACAATATCACATAGAAAGTTAGAAGCATGTTCATCTTGAGAAATGTATCTGTTAACTGATTAAATTAATCACATTTTTGAAATATTTTCTCACAAATGGTATTTTTTAAATTATTTAAAATGATGAGTAGAATGAGACAACTTTTGAGAAAATTTTCATGAAACAAATCTCAGAAAATAATATTCTCTCATATAGTAAATTAGTAATGCGTACATATTAAATTGTATTTATTAAATGATAACCAAGAATGTAAATAAAAATTTGTTCTTGACTTTGTGCTTTCCGGGAATAGTTTCTAGGAAATTTTCCAGCGAAATCTGGATAGATAGCAACCTCGTATGAAACTAAACTAGGTAACATTATTTAATATAATGTATCCAAATGTCTTAGATTCAAATTTGACATAATATACTTAAATATCTTTATGTACAAAAACACATGTACATCGAAGTCTAAACTTATTTATTGCAATGAAAAATATTGAAACTTTCAATTTTAATAAAGTATTTAAATCATCAATACATAAAAAATATTTAATTCGTGATGCAATATATGAAATAAAATAATTATCTAACTACTATATGACAATTTTAACTTCCTAAAAAATATATATTTTAATATACAATTTTCTCCTAAACCATATGTTGTACATAAAATGCAACGTTTGTTATACTTAGTTGTATATTCAACAACCCTTATATGCTTTTCGAATTGAAAATTCTAATATTTCGATTCCCTTGTACTTATGTCGCACAAAAAAAAACATAAATTTGTATTCGGTTCGATGCCCTCACTTATCTTCTTACAACTTTTACTTTACTATATTTTACTCATTTAGATATGTACGTATAATGGAGTTCCCTCTTTTTACAGTTACACCTGGTACTGTGCTCTGTTCCTTGAATCATATGTTTCTGCTAGGGTTCTTAACAAAATTATTGAATTATATCGGAATACAATGGCGAAAAATGTTGCAACAAAATTATGAAATATTCGACTTACAATATATCCATTGCTACTATAAAATAATTCATAATCACTAGGTTAGTATCATTCCAAATACTTCATGGGTAAAGGTTGTGATTTGAAAATTAAATCCATTTCTACTATAAAATTGTAATGTTAAAGACTTCTTTTAGAAAATTTAACAATTTTCGATTATGTTGAATGGATCCGTTTAATATTCATTTACTAAATGATTAATAAAGCCTTTTTTCTTATAGCATTTTCATGCTCTATAATAAAAATCTATTTTTATCTCGAATAATTTATTATTGATACATAGACAAAATTGAATCATAATATGTATGTAAGCGCTTGTATTTGTAAAATATATCAACCACAAACTGTTAAAAGTGTTTTCAAAACCTTTAAAAAAATTAAAATTTCATGATGACTTCAATCGAAAAATCATTTTGATTAAGTTTGTTTTTGTATTTTTCGGCCCAACACAACTTTTAAAAAAACACGAAATAGTGCCATTATCTATCACTTTTATTTATAAGCAGAATTTAAATGAAATATTTTTGAAGATTAAACATATTTTCTGGCAAACAAATATTTCACAACTGAAAATGATAACATATATTTTATGTTGACTCATACAACATGTATCTATATAAAAGCCGAAAAATTATGATTTCCTTCCACTTGGTTGCCCAATTCTTTTACTGAATACTGTGTTACATTAGATGCTTTTTCTTAAACTTCTTTTTCTATTTCCTTTAAATAAACCTTCGCTCAAAAATTCGACGATGCAGTGTTCACTAAACACTTTACCCTTTTCCGTTGTTATTATTTTTCAATTTCTTAAAGAATAGCTGAAGCATGAAACAAATTAGGTCTAAAGGGAAAAGAAGAACAAAAGGAATCATGCATCTGTGGGTTCATATACATGCAAATTTATGAAAAAATTACTTAAATAAAGGCACTTATAGCGTTCATAGCATTGTTAATAACGTCCAATAACTAAAGGTGTATGGTTAATTCATATGCGAATAATATCATTTGATGTTTTAAACATTTCCTTCTTTTGTTTAGCTTTAACATTAAAATGTAATTTTCAAATTATTATTTAATTTTGTTATAAATCACAATCAATGATGTATTTAAAAAGAATTGGAAAAATTATGTTTAGAAAATTCCATATCGGATCATTTCAATATGATTTTAGAAACGCAGTTTAATCGCTTTTGAGCTTGAATCGAACATCATCCACATGCAATAACTATTTTTAAAATTTTGTAAAAATATCTAAAAGTTAAATTCTACTAGCATATTCGTCGAATACTTGATCTTTAATGAGCTACTATCATCTTTCCAATTTATTTCAGTTATCTTAGAACATACCTATATTGGATCAGCAAGAAAATTTATTGGAAAACTTTAACGTTTTACCGGGAAAAGAATCCCCTAAAATATTTTCCAATACTCCTGCTATGTTTTTCCTTCCAGGCTTCCATGAAAAACATCTATCGCTTGTCCACCCCTTATAAAAGAAAACCAAAGAGGAAAAGAAAAAAACTTTTACTGTGATTTTTCACTGTAAAAAAAGTGTTTTTAACTAATAGTTGGATGTTGAAATGAAGTGAATTTGTTGCGTTTCGTTTATATTCTTCTAAGTCACTGTGGGTATTAGGCTTTAATGCTAAAATCTCGTAATAATGAAGAATAATTCAATAGCTTGATTTCCTGGTTTATCAAAACAGAAAAAAACCGTCTTGTTCGCTTATTTTTAAGCGAATTCAATTTATTATTGATCACTGTTTGACAAAGCCTTCGCAGTGGAATCTACAAAGTCAGTCAAGATCAGAATGCCGGAACAGAGCAATGATTACCGAGTGGTGACATTTGGTTCGGGAGGGGTTGGAAAGTCATCTCTAGGTAAATGTTATAAAAAAATTCATTTTATCCACCCACACAAAGTAAAAGAAGAACTGAATTTCAGGGTGGATCACAAAAAAATATTGTTTTTTTTCTCCAAAAAGCTTTCGTCACTCTAACAAGATACACAGATAACATTTGAGTTTTCGTTATCAAGTTAGATGTCGAATAATAAAAAAATTGCAATAGTATTTCTAATTGCTTGTTAAAAACTTTATTTATATTTACAGTTTTAAGGTTCATCAAGGGAACTTTTCCCACAAATTATATCCCAACTATCGAAGACACGTATCGTCAAGTTCGTAACTATTTGATTTTACATTTTTCCTGAATTTTGTTTCTCAATATTATTTATTATTTTTTCTTAACTTTTATTGAAATAACCTTCATTTATTTCATTCAGATCATGAATCTACAGAAGAATATTTTTCTTAATATTTACATATATCGTTTTTGCGCCATAAATTCAACACTCCAACCCTCAGATTATTTATTGTTCATGTTAATTCTTATTCAAATTCATTTTCAAATATTTTTATTAGAGTATCAAATGTATGTCTTTTATTTATATTTTAGGTGATAACATGTAATAAGAATATTTGTACGCTTCAAGTAAGTTATTTCTTTTCAAACCATTTAATTTAAATATATAACTAATGAGTACTTTTTTAGGTAACAGATACGACTGGAAGTCATCAGTTTCCCGCAATGCAACGATTATCAATCACTAAAGGACATGCATTCATTTTGGTGTATTCAGTTTGTTCGAGGCAAAGTTTAGAAGAATTAAAGCCAATTTGGCAGCTAATCAAAGAAATAAAGGCAGAAAATCTTAGTTCCATACCTGTAATGCTTGGTGAGAGGAAGGAAAATTTATAAATTTCACATTTATCAATTATGTTGAAATAATTTAGTTGGAAATAAAATTGATGAATCAGCAGAACTGCGAGAGGTATCACATATTGAGGGACAAGCTCAAGCAGCCGAATGGGGTGTTCAGTTTATGGAAACGTCAGCTAAAACAAATCATAACGTTACTGAGCTTTTTCAGGTCAGTTGAAAGCTTTGCTTAGAGGTCATGAAATTTGAATTAAAGGAAGAGAATTCTCAGATATATATAAAAAAATTCTAATTTATGTTTTCTCATTCAAGGAGCTGCTCAATATGGAAAAGAATCGTAATGTTTCGCTCACTGATAGTAAAAGCAATAAAAAGAAAGGAAAATCTAAGAAAAAAGAACAAAATGGAAGTGCAGGCACGTCAGGTGAAGGTAGCAGTTCAGGTGCGAAAGAAAAATGTCAAGTTATGTGAATTTTGTAGATTTGGAAGTGCAAGGAATTGGACATTCAATATATGTCCAGACTATTTCGAGAGATTACTGAAACTTTGATATTTTTAACAAGAGAAATAGTATTTTCTAAATATCAATTATAAAAGGGAAAATTCAATACTATCTAAAACTATTAATAACGAAATTATCATTTAATTTTTTTTTGTCAATGAATGAAATTTGATTTTTTCACTTCCTGACATAATTATTAAAGAAAGTAGATACATATATTATTTACACGGATGTCTATATTTTGCATATAAGTACTGTTATCTTTACATCGGAGTTAAAAGAATTATATTAGGATATGCAAATTCTGGATAGACCTCTTGTTCATTATATTGAAGCATATTTAGCACGAAGTATCAACGTTTCCATAATCTTCTATAAGTATAAAGGATGATCTTTCAATCATATAACATTCAAAATAAAAAAGGTTCAAATCTAATAATTTTATTTAATTATTAACTTTTTAAAGTAAAATAATTCAGAATAATTTAAAACAAGTGACATGAATGCCTAACTCTCAGTAATAATTTTATTCACTTCTAGATTGACAAAATCAAGTAAGCAAAAAAGATCTACCTAGTAAATAGTATATATGACATATCATTAAACAGTTGTTTTGCTACCTTTTACATGAAAATTGGAACACGAGTGCTGTATCCGGTATAAATGTACCATTAAGCGTTTTTTTCCTTTCCTTGCAAATAGTGAAATAGAAAGAACAACATGAACATGAAGAACAACATATACTTTAGAAATTTATGGCACTCTGATCTTCAGATACAACACATGTGTTCCAATTTTTGTGCTAAATGGTATGGAATCGAAATATAAAAATGCTTAAAAAATCATGTATCGACATATAAAAATAGTTAAGAATTTGTCACTCTTAAAAAGTTCTTAAAAGTTTACTCAAGTTGAAAATTATAATATTTTTGCGTAAAGATATTTTCTAAAAAATCTGTCAAAGACAACGATTACTTGAAACGAAAAACACAGGATTATAGAGGAAAATGAAGCTAATGTAGAAATAAATCATTAAAATAATTAAGACCAATTATATTTAATAAAAGAGACCTTTTATCATTTATAGAACTATGATTTACTATTTGAAGAGTTTATTTCTACTATAGTAATCAGCTCTAATTTTTGCTAGAATTTTATAAAATCTTTAAATAGATAAATCTTTAAATCTCACTTGCAACATCAAGTTTTTAAATCTCAATGTTTAAAAATCTAGATCTAGATATAAATGAGAAGTTAAGACATTTCCTAGTTTATTTTAATGATGGACAGTCAACAAATTTTACTGTTTATTAGTTCATGACATTTCAANTATATATATATTATATATTATATACGCTGTAAATGATACTTTTGTTTTAAATAAAAAAAGTATATAAAAAACGTTGGAAACATTGATGAAAATTCCGTTCTTTTTTTCACATTAAATAAATAATCAAATTGTTTATTTGATTGAAGATTCGGAATTATATGATTATTTTATTAATGAAAATAAAAAATCACGCAACGACGATAAAATAAATAGTTATGAATAAGAATAGTTAATTAAGAGATGAATTGCTTTGAAAGCTTTTGGCATGATAAATCTTACATCTTAATAAAATCAAATCAAATGAATTAAAAAAAATATTTTTTTGTGAAAATAACTAGTAATTTTGAAACAGCACAATTTTTTGAAGAGATGCAATGAGTTTTTTGATTTAAGAAAAAAAAAATCTTATTAAAACCGTCAACGTGGATGTTTTTAAGCTTTTATATACACCAGGTTTGTATTGCAAATATCTTCATTAACATATTTATCAGTCAAAATATTTAAACATCTTTTTCTTCAAAAACATTCGATATAGATATTTTATAGTGAAGAAAGGATTCTCAGACTAACGTACGTAATCGAGAAATTTGAACAAGCATGAGTATAGTACTGAACTTTGATAATTAATTTTTCTTTAGTACAAAAATTTCTTACATTAACCAGAAAAATTACCTTCGATAGATGCAATAAATTCGATTTTATCAATCCTTTAAAAGTTCATTTGAAAGTGAACAATTGATGTAGAATTTCTGTAAGTTAATTTTATGAAAAAAAAAATTCATAGCTTTAAATCAAACATTTGTTTCATTTATTTACAGTTTGGTCCAATAGTTTTCGAATAATCTAAATGCGACAAAAAAAATATGCATTTACTATACTTGCAATTTCAAATAATCTTTCTTCGGTGAGACATCAAAATAATACTCTTGAGTAATAATAATAAAGCTTGAAAGCTTCTTAATAATTCAAACACTTAGTAAAAAAATATATTTCATTGTCTTTTGTTTCTATCATCTTATGTTAAACATAAATTATATTTTTATGCATGTATTTTATGAGAAACTCAGAAAATGTCATTTAAAAGTGAAACTTTTATTATATGTGTGTCAATATCTTAATTTGAATGGTCAAAATATGTGATGATTGTTTTATAATTTAAGATTAATCATTTGAAATCATAATCTAACAAATTCCACCATGTTAAATGAAAATGTATTGAATGCAAGATAATTAATTTTTTCTACTAATTTGTATAGTTTTTCCTCTTTTTAATATGTATACACTCTAGACATAAATGATAACCAAATATCAAATTTATTATTTATTTAGATAAATCACAAATTAGATTTACGTCACCATAATAAGCCCGGTCAGGAATCAATTACATCTAAGTAGATAATACTTTGAAAACAGTTTGTTGTTTATATTATTTTATTCCATATTTCTTTCATTTTTATATTTAATCTAGATATCTACATTTTTCTCAACAATTTTAATATTTTGCACTGTGTTTTTGTAAAACTTTAAGTTTAATTAATATTTTTGAAAACCATATTTGTTTAAAAATATTTATTAAAGCATTAGAAACAAAAAAAATCATAAAATGATGATGATGCATTAACAAATATATAAACTTCAGAACTATCAAGGTAGTATGGTACAGTTTTGGAATTATTATCTCTTATTAAAAAAAAATGTAATATAGATATTTGAATTATCTAAATGCGTTTTTGCAATATTCGTTTCATTGCTTGTAATATTTTTAATATCTTGTTTCAAAAAAATTGATCTAATTTACAAAACCAATCTGGAGCGTGATTTTGTGAGTTTATTTGTTGAGCGAATGTCTCCAGTCCAACTTTTTGATTTTGCACGGAATTGCTTATATTGCTCGCTGAACTGTGAATCATCCATTCGACGATAGGCAATTGGATCGCATAAGTCCGAATATGTTTCGAAAAAGTCTTTGTAACCGCCATGAAGCAAATAGATTTCAGGGAAATTTAAATTAGGGTAGTTTGATTCATTTATTTTACGATCTCTATCCCGGAGATACCTTGATCTGTGAATAAAGTTTAAAGTTAAGATAATTTGAATATTCATAAATAAAAAAATAGTAATTTTCTTACAATTTTGGGCCACGCTCAGAGGAGAATTCACAATGAAATATTAAAATGTCGCGCTTTGAATCATCAGAAGAATTTTGTTCGATATTATCTCTTTTATACAAAAATTCGTCGAGAATTTGTTCTTGAGTAAAAAGATTTACTGCACCAATTATGTGACCTCCTTCATACTCGTAAGGATACCGGCAATCGATTATTTTAAATGTTCTAACGTAGTCTCTGAATTTTCCATTCAATAGCCTTTGTAATGTGGTTGATGATATTGATTTCAAATCAGCATGTTTTCCTTCAATGAGCGGTAGACAAAATGGTTTTGAGAGATCCCCAATAAGATTTGGTTCTGATGAAGATCTAGACAAAGCACTCAAAATTCCGGCATCATTTAATGACATTGATTTACGAAAAACTGGTCGTTTTAGTGAATTGTATGCAAGATCAATGGAAGCCAAAGGAACTGGAGGTTCATTTTCAGTCTTGATTCTTTTACTCATTATTGGACTTGTTGTAGGAGGGTCTGGTCGTTTGAAACTTCCAATTGATGAACGTAGCACTGTAATATTTTCGTTCAATTGCTGCAGACATTGACGCTCTGGTGTTGTTATTAAGGAAGTAATTGTACTACTTTTAGGCATTAAATAATCTCTATAGTGAGTGTTTTCAGTTGAACCCTCCATATCTAAGCATTTTCTTACGACCGAATTGTGTTTTTTGCGTTCAGGTGTTTTCAACGTGCTTCTTATATCTTTTGATATCAAAGAGCATAGATCATTGGGTATAGTATCCTTTTCATCTAAGCTTTCCATATCCAAGAGTTCCATATCCATATCATCATCCATTGATTCAGTTGATTCTGATGACAAGGAATGAAATACTTTAAAGTTTTTGGACATGTTAAAGTTTAATTTTGAGTATTTTGAAGGTGTTTTAAACGAAGCTGGAGATGATGATGATAATGTTTCTGGTCGTTTCGGTTCAATAAATTGAAACCCACATGAATAAGGTACATCAGAACTTATCTTAATATTGCTATCTGAAGCAAAACCACAATAACCAGAGTCTCGTGAAGATGCATCATGGCTATAAGATCTTGGCAATCTTTTCATTGTACCATCAATAATGAACACTGAAGGACTAGTATCAGGGGAAAGTAAGTTTAACTCCTCTCGACACGGGCTAATTGGACATGGCTGAGGACTTGACACCGGGTTATTTGATGAGTAGAATGATATGTCTTCAAACATGTTGTTTTCTTTGATAGGAGAGTCACATTTGAAACCAAAATTAATTTGTGTTGGTGCAATACTTGAACGATTTTGTACTCCACGAGCATGTTGTTGCATTTCTCTTGAGGATGGAGAAATGCCAGCAGAGTTAATGACAAAGGTGTTTGAAATAAGTCTGAAAGAAAAAATGTTGTTATAATAATTATGATAATAATTACATTTGTTTCGTGAAGCATATAAAAATATAAATGAAAACTGGAAAAGGAATAGTCTTAAAAATAAGAAATACCTAAACTGTCACAATTATCTCCCTCAAAACTTTCATGTCTTTCTGAATCATTTTGGGGAAAGTATCGAGGGAATTTAAAATTAGAAATGAAAACCTTAAGAAAATATTTTCCCTTCGTCTTTTCTAACAATTGTTGAAAAGGTTCAAATGAGTTCACGGGATTCGAGTTATACTTAAGCAGCTGGCGTGTTTTACTTTTCATATTCTTCAATTGTGTAAGTTTAATTTAACAAACATATGAATTTGATATGAAGCATATGAAACATTGGCCGCTATATATAGTTTAGATTAGTATGATTCTGTATATGTGTACGTGTGTGCTTGCGTTGATGCATCAGACAAAACAAATGTTTTATTTAACATAGATACAACAATTCAAACGATTCATAAAAGAATTTCACATATAAGAACAAGATCTCCCTTATTCATTATACACACTTACTTAATATTTTTCTCTTCCGGAAATAAATGAGCAAATGATAAGTTAATTTGAAATTTTTGATACCAAATCCAACACATTGAAATAGTTATGAAATTTATTTAAGTAGAACTTGTAATAAAAAAATTAACGTCAAAGAACATCAAATGCGTAGGATTGAAAATGAAATTGTGCCAATATTCATAATCTCATGTTCATTTTCATACCATAATGCGAGAATGATGTTTGTGGTCAGCAGCAATCTTGACCTGCACTAACAGACATGTACATTAAAATATTAAGAAGAGTTTCTAAACTTTTCATTTCAATGAGAAATTCTCATTGAGAATCAATAGAATTTGGGCGCACTCTTTCCAAAATAAATTTTCTAACCAAAACTAATATATTTAGAACTGCAATAATAATAAAAGTCATAATAAAACTAATTTAGTTTTCAAAAATATATCAACTTCTAAGAAAACGTATAAATCATACATGATGAATTTGCCTATGAAGATTCTTTGAGATTCATAAGGAAAATTTGGCAACGATGCATTTCATAGAATTTATATAGATTTTTACAGTGTACTCTCTTTGCTAGCTCGTTTGTGTAATATTTTAAAATATTGCAATCTTCCGTAAATAAATAGGAAGCAGAAGAAAATTTTATTTGAACATGCAGATTTAGGCAATAGGAGTAAAATTTGAGAAAATTAAACTGCAAAAAGTAAGAATAATAAGAAGACACGTTCTTATTGTATGCTTTATGCAGAAGGCAAAAAATGTTTCTTGCTAATTTAATGCAATAGGAACTTTTTAATTTTTTCTTACACCAACTATTTTAGTTAACTCTAGTTTATTAAAATAATTCGTACCTTTCCTTTAAATCTCTTTTCTATTATTTTCTTTTTAAAAAAAAATTAATATGGCTTGTGAAATTTTCCTTTATTATTTTTATTCAGTAATGAGAAAATTGATTGAAGTGATATGAAAAGCAATCATGACTTTTTGGAAAATAACAGAAAAAAAATCTCCAAAAATGTTCGTTGAAAAATTTAAACCTAATTGGATTTAAAAGAATTATTTTTAAATATTTACCTTGTACATTCACACAACTCAGGATCCAAATCAAAGTTTTCCATATTTTCAAGCATTTTCTAAAGTTTTATTTCTCAATTCTGAATTGATTCACAACGATTTATGTTCACTATGTATTTCATATATTTTCACAATTATCGTCCATTTGTAAAATAATTTCAGTTGATCTTTTGAATATGAAATAATTTTATTTATTTATTCAACTATTTTTTCAATATGATTCGTTTTGTTTTAATCAGGCCCATAGTAGGTTTGTTATCCATTATTAAGAAAACTTAGTAGACAGATATATGTATTTGATAACCGGCATATGCTATTCGAACACATGCAACAAAATTGTTGTTATATTGTTGAACAAACGAAAGAATGATGTTACTTTGCCGAGAACTTTTTCAAGATTAAATTTTTTCAACGATCGAGAGCTCAGTTTTATGTTGCTTTCTTGTTTTCATTTTCTCTCTTTTTCTGTCTCTCTCGTTTGCGTACATAACATATAGAAGGGTCAGGACTCATTTTCTATATATTTGGTTTTATACGACTATTCAACTCTTCCCTTATTTCTCAACAAACCAGAAAAATGTATTTTTCATTAATTTCTTAAAGTATTTAAACTGCTTCTAAAAACTTAAATTTTTTTCTTTTTTTTTCATAGTTTAAAATGCAATTATTAGTACTACAGCATAATATAAAGCTGTTGACATTTTTCGTTTTTCTATGAAATTGAAACAATTTTAATATGATCAAAACAAAAAGTTGAGAAGTCTTCATAAAGCATACTATATTTATTATTTCAATGATGTTATAGAGATAGGTATATTTTGAGATTTGCATACTTGATGGCGACCAAAAATTTTTAATTTCGCAAAAGCAAAGATTAGACAAGAAGGATCTAAAAGTAAAAAAATGACCTTGCCTTAACAGCTGATAAAATAGATAGGTATGTTTCAATTATATACCTATATGTATTTATCTGTTTCTTATTCAAAAAAAAAAATGTTAGTTTTTTTCTTTTGATTTTGAAATTTCTGTTGTTGATTTTGTTTTTTCTCTGTGAATAATAAAATAAAGTTAAAATATAATCTTTAAGCAATAGCGAATAATAACATATCTATTTAATTCAATATATTTATTTTGGTTATCAATGTTATTTTGAATGCTCGACTAACTAGGTTTCTTTTTGATCAGACCTACTTTCTAGGAACTTTAAAATAATCAAAAGCAAAAATAATGAAAAAGCGAGAGAAAACGATCTTAACAACAAAATATAGGAAACGGTAGAAACCAAAAGACTTTAAAAATTCTCATGAAGGAGAAATAATGCTGAAGATTCCATGGAATTGGAACAACAAAAGGGAAACTATGGAGCCAAAATAAGCAAGTTTTTGTCAAACAGGTATCAAAGAAATTAATTGCGGCAAATAAATAGTCACAATAATTATGCATCTGAAAACTTTTGACAAACATAGAAAACAGAACTAATCTATTGAGATAAATTTTGTGATAATAAATAAATGAATTATAGTTTTTTAAATAAAAATTTATTAAATACTTTTAAAAGAATTATCGATATGAAACAAACTTTATTTGAGCAGGAAAATTAACATTACTAGTATGTAAATATAAAATGTAAACCGATTTTTTATATGTTTGTATAAGTAAATAGCAAATTCGACCACATAGGTATATGTATTTAGGAAGTTATTTAAAAAATTTCTTTATATTGAAAAAGTTGAAAAGATAGATATTTATGATAAATTATGATAACGAAAATAATCAATTGATCGAACTTATTCGTAAGATGGAGATTGAGGTTTTTGGAAGTTATTGACCTAAGTAAACACTGATCGATGTATATCAAAAAACTGCAAATATTTTCTATAGATATTTAATCAATCAAGTGACTGAATTCATGTTCAGTTTTAAAAGGTTTGCAAATTTTACACTAAATTCATGCTCAAATTTATATATTTTTCCAATAATATTTTCACTTAACGCAATTGAATCAAAATCTGAGAGTTTAATTTACAATTCTTAGGATTATCAACATGTTTTTTATGATCAAGCTTTATGATTCTCACTGAGAATTGTATTGGAAAATTATGAAATATGAAAACAAAAATTCATAATGCAGTCAAAAATAAAATCTGGTTTGATAGAATTTTCTCATCCATTTATTCACACACCTTGTGTACATCTGAGAATATACAGTTTTACATCTGCCATAAATTTTTCATTTTTCGCTCTCAAAATCCTTGAGACCAAACCTTTATATACTACTATTATTTTCTGATTGCATATTGTCTTTATATTAGGGTGGAAATGCCGCCTGGTACGATACCAAAGTATCAGAAATGCAACACAAGTTCATTACAAAATTTGACTCGTGCCGTTAAAAAGGAGAAATTATTCTAGCATAAGGGTTCCTTTGCAAGAGGGGAAGTTATGAGATAAATTTTTTAGCCTTATGGCAGGCAACTTAAGAATAGAAAATTATCGTTACTCTCCTTTCCTTTACTTGAGAAGGGCTTAAAGGTTCATTAAACTTCGCGCGTAAAGTTTTAGCGGAAATTCCATCTGACACTGTTGCAACATGTTTTGAACATGTAATATATTTACATATTTTAAAATTGTGCTCATTGTATTTACTTATTATTAGGAAGGTTGAATGAAATGATAAAGTTTTCTTATGAATCGATCCTTAATATTCTCTATAGTACAAAAGATTGAGTTAGATAAAACAAGTGTAGCTTTAAGACACGAAATTAAATATTATATTATCTTTTAATCTGCGCAAAATTTAAAAATGAAATTTTTCATTACAAATTACATAGTTCATGAATCATGATTAATTCATAGTTAAAATATAGACACATTAAATCAATCAATTTGTTCACCTACTTGTGCCAATTTGAATGAGTCTTGAAAACATAATGTACAATAAGAAAAAACGCAGCAATTTAATAATTTTATTTATTGGGTTTGTAGAATGACTTCATACATTACATATACTGTATGCTCTTGATATAACGCTGCTGAAGATCCCTCGATAATTCGAGAAAATCGTTGTATCAAGAACATTTTGCTCCAGATTTTGACTCAGATGCATCATGCATTATGCTATTTATGTATCAAGAAAAATCGTCGCATCAACAGCGCGTTATATCAAGAATATACTGTACTACTTAATAAGAGATGAAAATTGAGTATGTTTTCGAGATATGCTACTTGCTTGGAAATATGTATTAAAAAACGAGCAAACGACGAAATATGTTGAATACGCTATTTTCGTTTCGCACAACTAAAAACCTTCAATTTTCAGCAGAATTTCTATGTAATAACAAGTATGGTGAATTTTTTGATTAATAATATTTTATGTGTTTTCAAATCTAAACAAATACAAAAAAAATTGAGATTAAATTATTTAAATAAAAGTCTCTTTTTTTGTATTGCCGGCCACAGATATACTTGAAAAAAGTCATTTTATTATTACAACTTGTATTTTACGTTTGTCGACATAAAATTCAGTAACTCTTTAATCTTGTGCATCACACAATTATTTCTCCTGCGGCGTGCTTTGTATATTTTATATATTCTCCGTTCTCTGGGAAAACGAAGATTATCAACGGTTTTTGTCTACCAACACATGCAAGAGAGTGATTTCAACGGCTTGTCAAAGATGGTGGACTTGTGTACCATCATCACATAGTTTTATGTTTATATGTTTCTTCATTATTCAATTCATGATTAATGAAATATCAAGTTTGTGTATTCCAATTGCCTCAGATGGTTTTCTAAAATATGTGATTACACAAGAAAGGATAAATAAAAATATCTGAAATATTTTTTTACTTCAGAATGAGTCCAAGGATGATTCAATAAGTCAACATGAATTTGTTATTTTATTTATTTATTAGATGGATCAAAAGATTTTTTTATTTTACCTGATACTTTTCGTGAAATATTGAATCAACAAAACGTTTCTAAGTATCATGGAGCTTCGAAGAGTAATAGAAATTGTGTTATGTTCAACAAATAAAGATATACAAAATTTTAACTCACAACTCAGACCTTTATTTTTCATTTAGCTTATTTAAATTTTATTCCAATTTCTTTTTGTTAGTTTAATTACTTTTTTCTTGTATACATCTAAGCATTTGCACAAAATCTAATTTCATTAATTACTTTTCGAAATAATATTAAAAAATGAGAGTGTTAAAAATCTTCTTAAGTTTTTAGCCCGTAAGATTGTTTCGTTTATTTTTCTTTATTAATTGAAGAATTTATCGTCTAGCTCTAGAATTCTATGTAAAGTTCATAAATCAATAAAATTTAATGCGTAAGCAAAAATTAGATACGACTTTGAAATAAATAATAACGAGTTTTCTCTCAATATTTCTTTTTCTTCTTTACACATTAGGCGTTGATCATTTAGACAAGCGAAACAATGAAAATCATCTCATTGTAAAACATTAAAAAGAAACGACCTATCTGTAGACAAATGTTGCAATAACTTATTTTGAAAAAATATAAATAGTACCTATATTAATCTCACGCATGATTTATATAATTTCAATTAGTAAGTTAATTTTAAGACTATAGCCTTGATTATCCGAATCTTTGTGATCGAACCTGTTTCATTAAACAGATTTTTGAATTAACTTCTTCAGCAAGGAAACAATTTTTGTTTCGTAGAGGTTTAAATATGTAGTTTAAAAAATCGTAATTATGTATTCATGAAACCATTTCATAATAAAAAATGACTTGAATCTTTCTGATCAATCTCTTTCCTTTCTTCTCTTTCGTAATTTCAGTGATTTTTTTCTTGGTGTGAGAGATGATTCACACAACAATCAACATATGAAATAAGTAACAAATTATATAGAGCCATATATGAATTTGTCACATTGTGTTTCAAGAATATAATAAAAACTATTTAGAATTTTCCGATTAATTGCTAACTATAACATATTATAAATTAAGGATGTCGAATAAGTCCTTGAATTAGGAAGCTTCAGAGAATATAGCCGAAATTTGTTTAATCTTCTAGGAAATTTTTTATTATTGGGAGTTCTGAAAGAATTTCTCACCCAGATCGTCTCTCACCTGGTCTTGTTCGATTGATGCTTCCGACCACCATCGTGAACAGAACAAATTTTCTCATAATACACCTGAATAGCATTCCAATCCTCCTTAATCTCTTTTGTCATTTAAATAGTCAAATAAACAAATATTTCACATGTGAATTCACATCTTAAGGATTTCTTTTGCAATCTTTCCATTCTTTCAATGAGAATACTCAGATGAAAACATCAAAAACGATAAGTGTCGGTAAGATTTTTTGCAACAAACGGAAAGTACGAGGAAAAAGGAATTATATGGATCTCAATAGTTGTTTGGTTGGCAGGTAATGGCTCTTTAATTCCATTCTTGTTCTATACTTATAACTTCACATCCTGCCTATTTATTAGACAAATTTCCAAAAAATTCTTTGAGATTGAGAACAATATTACGATTCGCAAAGATATTAAAGCATTCCTTTGAGAAAATAACGGACAAGTTGTTCTAAATAAGGATAGAAGTAATTCACAATCTCATTCTGTGACATATGAAATAAATCCCGACACTTTAGGACGGCTACATCCAACTTTTTATTTTTTATTTATTAACATTAGATAGAACTAAAAATTCAACTGTATAAAGTTTAAAAATCAAAATCAATCAAGATTATTTTACGATCCACCACACACACGAGACCTTTTTGATAAAGCAAAGAAAGTCGGATGAACAACTTCCGAAATAACTGTGCAAGTCTTCAAACTTTCTGTGAAATCGTCCTATAACGTTATTACTTCCTTTCATCTCGTCTCGCACGAGTTTCCTCTTTCGTATAATAATAACAAAATTGACTTTTTTAACTATTTCATTTAAAAATTATTCACATATCTGTCCGTTGCAGCTCAAATTTATTGTTTATGTGTCTAAATGATTCTATCATGCGCAGCTAAACTTTAAAATAAAACAAAGTTTTTTTTTATATTTTGATAAGATTATATTTGTTTGCAAATTTATACAAATAAAGAATTTTGGATTTTTTATATTTATTCAGCAGTTTTCGTGAGAATAAAATAAAAATACGTTACAATAAATATCTTTAAAATTAATTATCGCTTCTATTTACAAAACGAATCTTTATGAAATGAATATTAACACAATATAAGACATATTTATCCTGCTTACATTTGAGTAAAAATTTGAGGTATAGCTTAGGTGTTAAAAACAAGAGCTATGATTCTATACATATTACATTTTATAATAAATAAATATCTATTCTTACGACGGACGTCTAAAACAAAACCATATTCCTAACAGATTTCAGATTCAACTCACACATTTTTATTTAATAAGAATGTATGTACACAAACTTAAAAGAAAATAGAAATGAGAGATTTGATAACGTTTGTTTGCTCGGTTTCTTTTTGAAAAAGAGTTAAGAACTTCATCACTTTTTATGTTTGGAATTCTTACCTTTAATATAGTTTGCTTATTAGAATAAATGAGAGAAATTATTTATAATGAAAATAGTTGTGGCTGTACAACATAGTTTAAACATAGATTTTTATTAACAACCGGAAGTTTATTTGATGATTAATCAGTATTATCACCATAACGAAATAATTCAACTATGTTATTTAATAATAAAATGTATGAACTTCATTCATGAAATAATTCTTAGATACAACCTTGCAGCTGATATTTTCTGATTTTTCAAGTTTTTGTCAGACCAAGAGAAATTACCATTTATGATACTTGGCAAAAAAATTATCAGCAGTTTAACACTGTTCAAACAGAAATCATTTCTGTCATGGAAAGTTTGACTTATTTTTGTGACACGCATTCCCTTCAACTTGTTTTTATTATATCAATTTCTTTCGTAAAGACGTTACGGATTTTTTCTCATATGAACAATGTCTTGTTGAGAATTCCACGTAGTCAAACCCTCTACCTAAGATGAATTTTTGATAAACAAAAGAATTTTGTTCAAATAATTTTGCGCCTTAGTTGAAAATATCGTTTTTGTTACGCAATCATTTCGGTTTTGTATTCTCAAGATATAGGTTTTCATGGTCTTCAATGAAATTGAATTGATGGAAAAAAAAGATAATATTAATCAATAAGCCAATTGAGGTATCAAAAACGGAGTTCTACTGGGATGTAATATTTCTTTTTAATCAATAAACGACCGACCTTCTTTTAGCGCCAAAACCAATTTCTTCTAAATAATTTATCACATTCATATACATGTATTCTGTTTGAAGGTCAGATATTGCTTTACACATATGTATATATATTTGAAGTGAATCCCTTTTTGAAGTCCTTTCGTATCTAAAGTCTCGCGCCAAAAAATAATGTTTTTGGAATTTTTGTTATAAATATTGATTTTGTATTAATTATTATTGCTTTCATTAGATAGATAATATAAAGTTTCAGTTGTATCAAAGTTTATAGAAATCTATTCATTACTAAAGTAATCTTTAATAACTAGTGGTTAAATATTAGTGGATATTCAAACATTCCTTTTGTTACCATACCCAGTTTTTCTGACCATTTTTTGCGCTTTATTCTCTTTTAAGAAACAATTTATAAAACATTTTCATGATTGTTATTTCTTGTAAAATATTTGAAAAGTCGGTGCCAGAGATGGCACAGAATTCTATTGACAGTTGAATGTTTCAACATTGAAAAGTCTTGAATAGATGAGAATTAGAGTTTAAAGTTTACAAAATGCTCAATTGTTAGCTGAATCATTACTAAAGTATCACATTGTTTTTCCCAGGCGTGCTTTTCGGACCTTTGTCTTTTTCACAACGCAACTAGATTTAAGTCATGATTGCAAACCCTCATGAATGGCTGACGCTTAAAAATACTTGAATTTCCTAAAAACATATCTATTGGACCAAAAAGAAGTTTCTGAACCCTGAATTGAAGCGTAAAAAGAGCCATATAGATCAAGATAGTGAACGAAGCAAATTTCTTTGCAAAAAAATGGAGAAGATGTCGAGACAAAGATTTTATTTCTTTGTTCTATGTAACTTCAAAAACTGAATCGAATCCCAAAAGAAAGGTATTTTAAGATGCTTCAAATTTTCGATCAGGTGGTTTCCCATGGTATATTCCCGGTTGCCTGAACCAGTAAAACACAAAAAAAAATCGCCTTCTACGAAATCTTTTAATAAAACGATTTATTTTATTATATAATAGAAGAAAAGGAAAAATACTTGTGTGACTTTAATTTTCCTATGATGTCTTTCTATCAACTGTTCATTTTGATCAAAACTTACTGTTCATTAGAAGATTCAAATTCAATATAATAAGAATTTTGCAGCTGAGAAATTGCTTTTTTAATGTTGGTATTACATTTTTGCAAACTGTGAAGAATGTTGATAACGAACTAAAGTGTGCATTCACAGTATTATATACTGTTAATAATGCCTCGTATTCTAAGCTTCCCCTTTTCTTTTAATCTGTTAAATATTATTTACATAAACTTCTGCTTAATTAAAAAATTCTTCGATTTGGGTCCAACGAACTTAGTGGAAGAATACTTTCATTAGATATTTCTGAAATTATCTAGAGAAAACAATTTTGAATTGTTCCAAGTTTTGTAAAGTATTTTGAAATTCACATTTATGTATCCAGGTATTTATATTAACATTTTTTCTGCAGCCACCCCCACATTTATAACTCCAATATTTAATTATCTTCCACCCTTTAAACTTAAAATGTTCATTAAAAATCGAGACTATTTATCTACCTAGCCCGTTTAGTTTTATTAAATATAGAAGGCTTATAATATATCAATTTAGAAAATCGTTAGAATGGGAATTTTCTATTTATTAGAAAATTTTATTGCTTCTAGTGTTGAAAAAAACTACTAAGTCGAAACTGAAATCCTAGGATGATCCACTTTATCATTGATCACACCCCAAAAGTCTTTTTTTGTTATGAAATTTTATAAATTTATAAAATACTGTTTGTAAAATTTAAAGGATATTGTCAAAAAGGACAATAAACTTCTTTAGAACTATCGATATGATGAGTAAAAAGTTGACAAGAATATCTCCAATATACATATCGAAATAAATATATAAAAAAAGGACCACACATGGCCATTATGATAAAAATGCATACATATTAGTCAAGCTGAAAATAAATAAGATTTTAAGGGTTGAAATAAATATGTTTATCTCGATATTTATTATTAAAATCAAGATTTAAAATCTCTTGTGTATTATTTTTTTCTATTTCAAGCTGTTAGGTAATATTGAGAGTCAATGATTTCTGTATTTGAATGAAGTAAGATTAATGATATTAAGATTCTGACGAGTAAGTTGCTTTTTCATACATGAATAAAATTTTTAATAAAGACTATAAGATAGTTTATCTCAATTTGTTTATGCAATAAATAGAAAGAAGTAGTTGATATTTCACAATTATTACTTGGAACTTGATTCAAAAACAAATAGATAGCATTAATAAATAAATAAAAAAAGTCCAATGAAATCTGACTCAAAATAACTAAATAATTATTATTTGGGAAAATTCATATGACAAATTTGCTTTAGAGTTTAACTACCAACACTGCTGAATAAGTACCATTGACAATATTAAGCAGAATACATTCATTCTTATCATATCCGCTTTTCCCAAAACTTTAAGTTACACAATTTAGTCTTGTGAATCTGTGAAAAAAGCCTGCTGTATCTTGGAAGATCATAGTGGGTTTTTAAAAATCTCTTTTCAATAGCAAGGATGTAGGGCCTTCGAGGAAAACTATAAGAGGCATGAAAAGACGTTTATGTTTGTGTTTCAAATATGCTACACAAGTAATTAAAATGTAATTGTAAACATTACAGCAGTTTCCGGTCTTTTAAATATGTCATGATTGAGTATGTAACATTTCAAAGCAATAACAAAAAAAAAGATTGTTTCTCCTTTTAATTATATTATAGGAAATATATGATCGTTTTGCTCACTATCTCAAATTGTAATACATATCACAATGACTAAAAATTGTATTGTGTTGCCTAAGCAACGACTCATAAACAAACAAAAATAAATTAAAAAAAATGTCGATCGAAAACTTTTACTATTTAAATGTTTTTGGCGAGATTAATTCAGTATCATTTCCACTTGGACCAGAAGCAAAAGGAATTTTCATAAAATATGATATTGTTGCAGGTGATGACTGGGAAGTGATTTCAGGAGTGACAACTGGGCTTACGCAATGCTCAAACCCTCGAAAAGGACATGACAGCATTGTTTTTAACATGCCTATTGCATGTACTTTTAGGTTCACCAATATATTTGGATGTAATTATGAAAATTAGACTCATCTCGATTAGTGAAATCGAATAATAAGTGTTTTATCTTTTCAGGGCCTCAAATTGTATTCAGTTTATATGGCACAAATGTATGGGGTACTGAAGTTAGCTTAGGATATGCTAGAATTCATGTTCCATGCCAAATCAATAGTTCGCAACAATCTGGATTAAAGGCCATTCATGCGCCAATAATTCAAACAATCTCAACAAATATATGGTCAGCAATTGCCAACTTCTTGCTAAATCGAAATCCCGAACTAAGGGAGCCGAATATTCTCTTAAATGGAATGAAAAGCAAAAATTTATTCACCTCGTCCTATGGCGATATATTCGTTTTACTTGAAACAATCACCAAGGGAACTGAAAAACTTGATATTTATTCCTGAAATTTAATCGAAAAATATTTTCTGAAGTGGACTAGAAAATAATGACCGAAATTGAAATAAAAGAAAGAAAAAAGAAGCTTTGTACAATTGATTCTACATTTGTGTGTTCTCATGGAAGAAAGGAGTCGAAATCTAGCAAATCTTAGTAAGATGAAATTTATAGAATTTTTTTAGTAAAACGAATACAAAATGATTAAAGATAACTTTCTAGTGACAAAATTTGTCGACATAGATATCATGAATCAATTAAACGCTACGATAAACAATTGAGATCGGAAATTGGGGTGCTGGAAAATATTCAGAAAACTGCTTTTGAACAAGTTAGATTACATCGTCTTTTTGCTGTAACCACTCTGTGGCCACCATTGCATACTCGAAAAGAAATTGAATACACAATTAATTCCCTACACAAAGTTAATAGTTTCATTGCTCATAAGGTTGATATGATTTTGAACAATGATTAGCTATGTAGCTCAATCTTCTACTAATTAAATACGATACAATTTGTAATTGCATTTTTCAGCCAGGAAAAATAAATTAAGTGAAAAAGTTCTGAAAATTCCAATTTAATACTTTTTTAATGTTTCTAGGAATAAAAATAACTCCTTTGGAATGGAAAAGAGTAATATTTGAATATTTGTTTCAATTTAATCGAACTTATAATTAAACTTATTGCATAAAAATGAATTTCAAACAATAAAATGAAAAAATCAAATTTTACTTACTCAATACATAAGAAAGCTTTATGAATTTATTCAAAAATAAGTTAAAAAGCAGGTACAAAAATGAAATAGCAAAGGTAGCAGGTTTTTATGGTTGTGGAGTATTATTGTTACTGGTTTTATGTTTTTAGACTTGTGCCAAAACAGAATCACATTAGAAAGACAACATCAACACCTGACCTATTAGACTGTACAGTTGGTTATTTGATAGATGGTGGGTTTACACAAGTTAATTCCTCTTCAAAAAAAATATTTGACATCAGAAACCATTGAAAAACCAAACGTTGTATGAACTAAATTATAATTCGATTCTCCTTTATTTGTAAATATAAGAACAATGAAGAATCACGATCATCAAATAAAACTGGATTTAACTCACACTAAAGTGTACACGTAGAACATTCATATGTTATCTTTGTTGTTTGAAAGGATTCATTCACCATGGTTAAACACAAAAGAAGAAAATTAAAACTTATTCTGTTCTTTAAGGTTTAGACCATTTTTACACATGATTTTGGATATTTGATTTAGATTTTAATAACTATAAAAGTTTTACATTAAATTTTGTCAAAAAAAAAAGTTCTTTAGTTATGCATCTAATTAATAAATTCATTTAAATTTAATGAATCCTTTAAATTCAGTCAAAAGCAGTTGATTCAGCGGGATCATTAAAATCAATTTTATTAAAAAAAAGTTGAATTACTAAGGTTTTTTTTTGAAAATATCTCGAATCTAGAGAATATCAGAAAGTGTTGAAGCATAAAGCATGGAAAACAATGTTATTTATATGCATATCATTTAATTATTCAGGTTGTTTCTCTCAAATATCTAATGTTGTTTCTTGTCAGTTTCCTTAATGGATTCAGAAAACAGAATTAGATATTTTTCTATGAAGGCAATCTATAATGATGTATGTAAGTGGATATTTTCAAAGAAATAACTACTCAGAAAGAAAGAATTAAAGAATAGAATTCAACAATAAAATCATACAAAAATTTTCTTTGGTACCTCAGTGCTGTTTTCACTTTGAATTTTACAAAAAGAAAACGTTTAAGGATACCGACAAATTCTTTTGAAATCTGGTTTTTTAGAAATACCATAATTTCAAAAATGGTCTTAAAAGTTTTAAATATTTGACTTTAAAGAGACCTATAATTATTCTTATGTTATTATTACAATGACTAATTATATTGTCAAAAAAAAATATGTTTAAAAATTATTATCAATGCGTGATATTTGCAACTAACTTCAATTGCCAGGACAAGTATTTATTTTAAGCCAAAATATTTAAAATGATGCAGTTCTTCTATTTTCAAATCTTTTTTTTTTCAAATAGTATAAATTTAAAACATAATACAAATTTGTATAAATTTCATTTCTCATGATCCCTAAGTTTGAATTAACAATTAAAATTTTATGCTTTGACTTTTAAAAATAAAGAAATCTCATAACAATGGTAAATTTCATCATACTTCTAACCAAGCAGCCGCTTATTAGAAGTCTTTCAAAGTTTTTGGTCATTTGACTTGTATGTGAAGCAGGATTTGAGGCATAATTGTTGTGTTAAAGACTTATTATTAAATTCGAAATGTCGTTAAAAGATTAGCATGAAATAAGAATAACCATAAACTTCTTAAAATATTCTGCAAACATTTTTATTAACAAGTTATTGAACTTTTCAAAGCAGTTTTTAATGCGATGGAATTAAATTTAATATTTTTTATATCAGAAAATTAAATTTGCATAGAAATTGTCACCGCAGAATTTAAATTAGCACAACATTAACAAAAATAACGAAACGATGAATGGAATTGTAGTTTAGACACATGCGTCTGGTATGTTAACAGTCTATGTCTGGTGCGTGCGGCATACATTTTATGCGTTCAAGAAAATATTTGCCTATTTTCCATATATTCAGAGCTCAACCCGTCTACGCGTGAAACTATTGAAATCGAAAGTTATTTTAATGACATACATCGGAATTCGACTTCTCATTTAAATCAATGATTTTCGTTTCACTATACGACTCATTTCGTACCAAGACATAAGGTGTCAATGGATTATAATGAAAATAAGAAAGAAAAAAACTAATCAAATTCTATCATGAATTAATGATATAGCATTAAAGCTTCTACCCTTTGCAATTTAAAAATCAAATTGTAATTAAGGTACCTGTACAAGGCTTGGATGCTAAAAAACTTGTAATGTGAAGACCAATTGATGGTGGCGCGATGAAAAATATTATTTATATTGGTTTAAAATTACAGTCAACCGCTAAGTTCAGATTTTTTCTTTTGGAAAATGATACAATTAAATAAATGTCTACTTAACACTTCTGGGAAGGTTGATACATGATAGTAAATTACTTATTAATGTGTGCCGGATAATTAGCAGGAATTATATATCGGAAGTAGATATGTATGCATTTGCTTACATTCTAAGTGTTTCATTGCACTATATTGTGGTTTACTCAATCCCAAAGCTCACATTTCAGCGGTATTATAATTAAAAATCAAGCTATTTCCCTCTCTATAGAATAAAAAGATGCAACACAACATTCAAATGAAATGAAAACAAGAGGCGCTTACACAACAAAAAAATTATTACATGGCAACTATTTGAGTTTATGTTAGGCTATAGATGTCAATTTTCATGCTGGTGAATTTGAAATGCAAAAAAGGAAATGGGAGTGTTTACAACGCTACATCCAGATAGACCCGTAAACGGACAAATTTTTTTTGTGCTTTTTTCAACTTTTCATGACGTTCAAACCATTTTAATTCTTTTTTTTGTAGCATCAGTTATGACTTCGTATAATATTTTATAAGAATATTACCTTTTGGCAATAAAATCATGTTTTTGTGAACATCATAGCATTTGAACTGATTATTTAAACCTTAACAGCATCTTCCTGAGTTGCAAAACTTTTGAGATACTCTTGTTTTTGTTTCACCGATGTTTCGTAAGTTAAAGTAAAAATCGACACATGTATATGAAAAGTTAAGGAAGGTTGTGGAAAATCCTCCTCAACTGACTTTTGTATTGCAGCTGCCATTATTTTTTTTAATTTTCATGGGGTGCGAGGACATGAGAATAGATAGATTTCTGATGTATTAAATTATTTTTGGAAGTTTATCTAAATGGAATAAAACTCTATTTAGCCAGAAAAAAAAGTTAGTAAAGAAAAATCTGGAATTTAAAACATGATTACATTTTATAATCAATTTCCTTAATATTAGAATGAAGGAAACGACGAACAGAGTTACGGTCAAATATTGTTCATACTTCAATGATTGGCAAGCTGCTTTCTTCTAAGAAAACAGACGCTGTTTACTGAATGCTTGTTAAATTGGCGAAGGTTAAAAATTTACTAATCAATCGATACATTCATTTTATTTCGAAAAAGAATTAGGGAGAGGGGACTTTCAAAAGCGTACGTATGTGTTTTCTTATAAAAGAGAAATAGAAAAAAAAATTAGATGAATTAAATTTGTCTTACTCATTTCTTAGCAACCGATCTCACTTTGTTTTGTTAGAAAAACTAAACAAGCAAACTGAACTCTTAAATTTCCTAAATTATCAATAGATTATAGTTTTTCTATTACTTATAATAAAGTTTTATCTGAATTTAGAAACTTCATTTTCATAAAACTGGTATAAGAAGGGTTGCACATATATTTTGATAAAATTTAAAAAGTCGTGAAAATATATCAGAATGGAAGACCATTCCAAACGCGTTACATTAAGTGCGGAAAAGACAAATGTCCCACTTATGAAACGAATTGTTGAACATGCAATTTTGGATGAAAAGCGCCAAAACTTTATTCAAGAATTCTTAAAACGAAAAGATGACATCCCAAAATTAGTGACAGAACTTTACAATAATGATAAAGTTGGAATCGAAAATCAGCTCGAAACTAGTGATAAAATTGTTTGTGGAATAATTCAAAATGGAGACGATTTTATAACAAATATTCGGTCAGCAAATGATCGGCGTGAAGTTGAAAGAAGGATTACTGAAGCAGAATTGCGGGAATGTCTATTAAGCGATCTTCAGAAAGATTCACAACTATCACTTATAAAGTTGGAAGATATTTCAAAGAAGTGGAATGAGATTGAAAACATCTTTGACCCTGTTGAAATCTATAAAAACCTTGAATCTCAAAAAGCAAGAATTAACGATTTAATTGATCAGAAATTGACAATCATTAATGAGTGTCGAGATGAATTGAATTCTGCTGATGTGAGATATATCCAAGACTTGGATAAGCATACCAATGACATTCATTGCTTAGTGGAAAGAATAGACAAACAAGTGGATGTTGCTAAAAAAACTTATCGTGAGCATTTAGATATGCTTCAAAAAACAATCGAAGATGAAAGGAAAATATTTCAAATTATTAGCACAAAAAAATGGGAATCTATGTATGAGAAACGGGCTGTCAATGAAGAAAGTCGAATGCGACGTGAGGCGGAAAAAAACGAACATTATGTCAACGAAATTAGAAGAATTCAACTCAATCACAGTGAACTAATTAGAGCTACCAAGATTCGATTAGATAATGACAATGAAGTTCTAGAAATTGAAGTTCAAAAACTAAAACGAAACATAACTCTGAACTCTGAAAAATTAGATTACAACTTTCAGGTTTTGAAGAAGCGAGAAGATGAAAATGTAATGGTTCGCAATCAGCAAAAGCGCCGTTTATCAAAACTAGTAGATACAATTCTTACACTTAAACGTAAATTAAAAGAAGCAAAATCGACAAGCGTATTCGAAACAAAAAAGTTCACTGCTGATATAATGAAATTGCATGGCAAAATCCTGGATCTTGAACAAAAGAGTAACTTATTTTCAGAACAGAATAACAAGAAATATCTGACGGTTTGGGATATCAATTTCGAAGAATGTGAAAAAATTCTTGAACAAATTTTAAAGATTGACAAAATACTTTGGGAACAACAGCTTTGTATTAAATGGGAGGATCCTAAGATTAATATCGTTAAACGTGAAGACTTGGAGTCTTTTAGATCTGCACAAAACTCTACTTTAGTTTCAGTTAACGATTCTGATAACAAAACAAAAGCTCTCAATTTCTACGATGACGATCCATTCCAGCCAAAAACACCTTATAATGAGATTATAGACGAAAAGTTAACAAAAATTATTTTTCATGCTATTGCTAACAATTCTGGGTTTTTAATTGAAAGCAAATTATCTCATTTGTTGAGTTCATACTCAAGATCTGATCAGACAATTATTCATCTTGACGCGGTTCTCAATGCTCTAGGAATAAACAAATCAGAAGAAATTGATTTAATCAAAAATTATTTCTTATCTTTCATAAAATGTAAGAAATGTGGCATGAAACTACTTTCTGTGGACTATATGGATTGCATAGCAATTGAAAATATGGAGGATGATCATGAATTTGAATTGAAGACCTTGGATGTTTATAATGTTCTCACAAAGTTTATGAAAGAACACATAATCTCCTTAAATAAAATGATGTGAGTAATGTGAGATATCAAGTTAATTGTTATCTTCATCAGTTTACATTTTAAATTAAAATGTTTTCTAAATATTTTTAACATATCATCATTTTAGGCCGAAAAAAAACATAATTAAACGTATAAATACACAGAAAAATATTATCGACCCACTGACTGCTCAAAAAGATGTCGACAAATGTTTCAAATCTCTCGATTTTCCTGATGAACGCGACAAAATATGGAATGTGTTAACTGATGGTCTTCAAAATTATCTCAAAGTTTTAAATGAACGTGAAGCTCTTGAAAAAGAATGTGAATTCTTACGTAATCAGAATCGCGAACTTAATCATCTTTTGCAAAAATTTGTGCCGGAATCGTTATGTCATTCGTTTTCTCCTCCAAAATAAATCCAATAACCGAAATCTCTTCAAATGAGTAAACATTTGGAAAATAAAAGCTATACCTATGTTACATGTTTAGACCAATTGAACGTGCTACACAATGTAAGTTATGGTTTAATCCTAAGCATATTTACAACCAAAAGCGATTTCAGAAATAAAAGGATATAATTTTCTTGAATAATCAACATTTACTTATTTGTAAGTAAAATGTTTTAACTTTCCTGTAAATGTCATTTTCTAGACATGATTACAAATTTATTTCTCTGATATACTGTGCATATAATGTTCATTTGGAGTAACTCTCTGATGGTGAAAATCAGCAACAGAGTTAATTACTTTTTAATACTGATAACAAAACAAAAAATTTTTGATACTCTCTTAGCACGTTTTTTGCAAGTCCTCGTTTGAATATCAATCAGTCTGAAATATTTCTTCTAAAAAATATATAATTCATATATGTATGTATATGCAAATACAAATAAATGAAAGCATAAAAACTAATACACATATTCAGAATATTCTGAGAAAAATTTATATTCTGGATGAATGAAAAAGATGATGTCACGACTTTAAAAATATTTTAGCTGAATGATTTGCTTTGACAAATAATTTGTCAATGAATATTAGTGACAAATAAATGAAGCCAAATATCTGATTCAAATATTACATGACTTGTTTCTCAAATCAAATATAAATATGAAAAGTTAAAATTTTACCAAACGGCACAACCAGATTTTTTGCTATTATTTTGTTTCGATACAAATAAGTTGCTTTGAAAAGCTATCAATATATTGGTTTTGATTTTGGCGCCAAACGAACACAACTAGCAGTAAATATGTGAATACATGTAGAAAAAATCATACAGAGGAGCTACACTCCCTTTGATATTAATTTCTTTTTCAAAGTTAGTTGAATGAGGTGCGTATCCACCACTGTGAGATTATAATGGCTAGAAAAATATTTTAAGCAATAAAAACTACCTAAATCCAACTCAACTGAAACAAATAGATACTTTAGATTTCAGTCGAAAACGAAATTATATTTTAAGGAAAAATTTAAGAATAATTTATCTAAAATGTTCTTTCTAAAAATTAGTTTTTTATTGATTGAAATTGAATCTTTTACCGAAAATTTTAATCTAGACTATGTACCAAGATAAAAAAAAGTTGTCTAAGGCAAATTCTCTCATTCAGTGCGTAAAGAATGTTTTGCAAACGGCAAACTAAGAACCAGTTTGTTGCTTCAATATTTTTTCATAAATTCTTTTATCTCATTTCTTCTTTTTATTTTGCGCGCAAACAAGTCTTCTAAAGAAAAAAATAAGACAATAAGATCAATTCTTAAGCTTTTTAGTGATCACTTGAGAAACCTTTCATAATTCATACGAAAGCAAAGCGAGTAGAGATGAGAAACGATGAAAAATGATCGGCTTAAAGCGGCAGTTATCATCAGCTTAGTTTTTGATTTGATATTATTGAATAAATATCAAACCGCAATTGTAAATTACTAAAGAAGATACATTATCCAACAGATCAACAAATAATGAGGTTTTATTTTTTTTGAAACTATTAATTTTAAAGCATGTGCTGATGTTAGCGAGATATTTGAAAATAAGTTCTATATGCTATCCCAAAAATAGATTATTCTACGTACTTTGGATAGAATGGTACAGATTCACATTGTTTCCGTTTGCAAATAATATTACTGTGGACCATTAATTCATACGGTTCGTATTATGATAGACAGTAACGTATAAACAGAAATTGTTATTTTCATAAACATATTTATATTAATTATATTATAACAACTAACACTTTGAAAAACTGGTTTTTACTTACATCTTATTTCAAATTATAAAATTTGTACTGCATCTCATTGCAGGGTAAAGCATAATGGATTGAAAGAGCATACACATGTATGTATCAAGTACATTATTTGTGCAATCGCTTATGATTTTTTCAACAGTTCACTGTCTACAGTCCAAAAACTTTGTATACATATCTGAAACTCGAACATACAAAAATATATTTGCACATAATCAGAAGAACTCTTTCCTGCCTTATTCTCTGAATTGCTATATAGAAACTTTAAATTATTGAAGAAAATTCGAGATTGGTTTCCGAAGTTGCATGGTGAAAAGTCGTGAATATCCCTAAGAAGTAAATATACGATAAAATAATTGTGTGAAAGCGAGATTTATTTTCTATTATCAATATATTATTTTTTAAAAAACCCCTAAAATTTCCATGATATGAATTTGGAGTATAACTGATTGTATAATATTCAACATGATGTATTATGGCACATACAAAAGTATTTCATAAAATGTATTTCATCACAATACAAATAAAACTTAGGTTTCATTAAATTATCAGAGTAAACCATAGTATCATTAACAATTCCTTCTGCGAGAACATAAATATTCTCCGCGAGCATACACATTCTTATGAAAAATTTCCTGAAATTTCAAGAAATCTTATATACAGCCTAAATAAAGATCAAAAAATCCATTTACATACATAAAAGAGGAAAAAAAATCATGAAATTATTTTTATGCTTTCCTCACTTGCCTTCTCAAACAGTAAAGAGAGAAATAAAAAAGGCCTTCATTCCTTTTGTTGTTGTTTGTTTTCATTAACCACTAAAAGAAACAGGTTTCTCAGCCTCTTTATGTAGTCGTTTTTCAAGTTAACGTTAGGATAAATGTGTCTAGCATGAAACATAATGATTTTACTTTGAACATATCGAACTGTTTCGAAAATTTCCAAACGCGCAAAACGTTTAACCTTTACTTTTCGACTTTTGTATTTAAGTATTTGATGATTTTATGACAAAAGGTAAAGTAGATTGAAGACTTTTTATTTTAAAAGAATTTGGAAATAACAAAATTTTAAAGGATGATTTGTTTAGAAAAACATGTGTCAACCATATGAGTTTTATGATTTTTTTTTCATATACCTTCTTATGTTTAATATGTTTTTCGCGCCAAATTTTATGTGCTTAAGATTTGTTTTAAATGACAGAACAAGATTATTGACAATATTTTAATTCTTATGAAAATTAATATATTTTTGGAAGATTTTTTCTTCAAAGAAAACAGTTATTGTTTTTTTGCAATTATCTTCATCATTAATTTTTGTTTCCATTCCATAACACAATTAAGGACCCATTTGAAAAGGAATCCCCTTAATGTTAAAATGGCAGGGAAAAATCTCTTTAAAGTAGCATAGCCTATGTAAGAATGTGGGTGATCTATTGTTGTTATTGTTCTCTTTTTTAACATGTGCCAAAGCAGATTCATATCAGATTAAAAACACCTGACTTATAGGATCGTGCAGGAGATGCACTTTTTATTTACTGTTTTCTTCAAATTCTTTAAAAATGAAGCTGTATTAACAACCACAATTCCTTTTCCCTTCAATATGATTTTCAAGTTTTTTTTTCGATTTCATTTTCGCGCCAAAAGAATCTTCAACAGATTTCGTCCTTTTGGGATTTAAAAGCCATGAACAGACATTTATGCCATTTGTCTCTTGACAGTTCTTAGCTTTGCATAAATTATTAAGTGTGCAGTATGTAACTGATTTTTCCTGTAGCAGCATAAGGGAGCAGGCACGAAATTCATTTGACAAATGATGCAACTGGATGTGTTACAGCAAAATTCTAGGCAAAATCCAAATCGTTGCAAGTGAACTTCAGTCAACCGGGACTTATCGTATATCCAAATATAGTCCACATTTAGGTAGGAAAAAATATTCGAGAAGAAAAATAGACAAATATGTATTCGGGCTCCTTTGACATTTCAGGCAATAAAAATATAATATTCTACCAGTCAATGACGGGATGATCTTTTTAATTTAAATCAAAAACTGAAATTGAACTACCCACGGTTCTTATTTACTTTCATTAATAAATGAAGTTTATTTTCTTATATTTAACTTCAATTTACATTACACACATTTATTTAAATGAAAAAGAATTTTTTTATAGTCTATCTGACCTGTTGATAAAATTCAATGCATAAGCCAACGCAATTTTAAAAGAAAAGAAAATAAGTGTTTTTTTTCTCATTTCAAGGTCAATTTTCTTTTGACTCTCATAAGCGAAAAGTATAATTTTGAGGTGAAAAAAGTTTCGTGTCAAGTAAAAAGAATATTTCAAACACACTCTCACAAAGAAAATGAAAATAAATAACGATCGCAACCAAATAATCTTATTAAGTCTTTCCTAAAATCATTTCAGTTTATCTCCGACCGCTCTATCTGATTGAAGTGAAGTTCAGCTGAAACTTTCAGGACGATTAATCGAAATAGAAATTAGTGAATTTTCATAGAATTTTTACGAAGCCATTAGGAATCAAAAAAATATAATTCAAAATGGTCCTTTACGATTTCGAGTTTTACACCAATCGCCCACCCTTCTACACTAGACCGAGAGCGTATTTCTCGCCTTATTCGGTAAGAACATTTATCGCCTTTACGTTTACAGTTCAATTGTTTTTTGAGTTTACTTTATTTTTGTGAATATATGAAATTAAGAACGAATAGAATATTATTATTAAAAGACATTTAATTTTAATGCGTTATTTAAGACATATCTTAAAGTTAGATGAAAGTATTCAGTTCCAAATGAAAAATTAACATAAAACATCCAATAATAAAAATAATATAAGATGTATCAAATGAAAAAATCCATTTAGTTATTTGGTTTAGGTCTTCCAATATCATCTAGAAAAACATTTCTTCGAGAAATGTTACAACACTTGATGAGAATTTAAAAAAGACCTTGAAATTTTTAAGATTTATTTGATACTTTTATTTTTAGAAATACTTTCAGGTGAGAAATTTAAAGTTAATTGTGGAAATCTTTCGGATGATGTACAGTTTTGATGAAGAAATTCTAAAAATAAAACTGTGAAGAATATTTTCATAATACATGCTAGCCTGTGCGGTGTTTATTAATTAATGATTCATGTTATATTTTTAAAACACGTTTGCCAAACACCTTTAGTTGGTGAAATTTTAAAAATGAAACTATGTTATTACTCATACTTGAAACATTTAAACTATTTGCACACCAAATGTAATATTATAAAATCTGTTCAAGAAATATTCAAACAATTATTTCTATTAAAATAAAATTTCTAATTATTGAAATTTGATCTTTTTTAAATATTTTCACAGCCATATAGCTTCTGGTATGACAGCAAATATTTCAATTCATACAAATATTATGTGAGTACTGAATAAAAGTTTTGTGAATTATTTTTTTCATTTTCATTTTTCTGAACTTTTAAGCCATGTCACAAAATTTTCTTTTTAAAATTTCTTAATTTATTCTATTCCCTAATAAAATGAAATTATTTCTTTTACAGACTCCTTACCGTTCAACACCGGCTTACTCGAAGGTATTTAAAAAACGCATGCAAATAGATGATTCAATTTGAAATTAAATAATAATTTATATTTATTTCTATATTAAGGTTGCCAGCTACTACACTCTCCCATACAGATATCGCTTCGCTCCTTCTTATAGCTATATTGTAAGATTATTTTCACGTTTCTTTTTCACAAATTCATAGCTTATAAATTATAGCCATCTTATTATGGACCAAGCGATTTTGAGCGAAAATTACGAGAAACTTCTGTTGTTCCCACCGAATCAGAAAAGTATGTCTATAAATATGGACTGAATTTCGATTCAACAGCCAAGGAAATTCGTGATTCTACATCAAGATTGTTACGTGAGATTCACCAAAGTGTACCCCGTGCTACAAGCGTCCCACGCTTCACACCACGAGCATCAAGCTTGGAACCATTGCGTGAATATGACGAAGAACTTGACTCCCTTAGCAACTTAAGATACCAAAGAGGTAAATTTTTAAATAGCGCATTAAATAATGAGATTATTATCTATTATTCCTATTATAGCTGTCAGTCAAGCAAGATTGCTTAGAGAGGAACCATACTACAGAACGCCAAGAGCATTTTCCTTGGCGCGTGATGTATGGTACTAACTCTTTTTTTACAAAAAGGCTCGCAATGGTGTGAAAAATTCGTCTAACTATTTGTGAAACGATGATCTACCGTACACTCTGGTAAGAACAAATTTATTCATGAGGCAAAGTCATTGTCAATGTTTTTTAAATCTTCGGATAAAAATAAATATGCTTTTATTTTTCTCTACACGCATTCATGAAACGAAGAATTTTTGTCGTTTTGAAGTCTTGATGAAGATCAAGGCTAAATATTACTACACAGTCGAATATATTTTTCTGTTCAATCATACATTCTCTCTTATTCACATTGCTGAGTGATCACAGGGGAGAAAATATTGCAAAAACTTCTGCCCACAAGAAAAAAACTGATGAGATTATTGCTTGAGAACAGAAAATAACTGAAAATTTTTTTTTCCCTTTTGAAAAGGCTTTAATTACATTCTTTTTTTTCCAGTTGGTCAACGTGAAACAGATGAAGTCAACATCAGAATATGTATATAACCATCCCAAAAGCGAAGCCAATGCTATCTGAATTTAATTAAATTTTTTTTAATTTTTATTAATTTATTTTGTAATTATTCTTCAAAATTTAATTATTATACATCTCCATATATAAAA